ATCAACCCTCACCTTAAACAATGTTGAATTTTGAAAGAGACATGTGAGCATAAACACTTTTGTCTTATCATGATGTCAACGGCTATAACCCTGGACCAAACCAACTCACCTCTAAATGAACAATTTTATCTACCATCTATTTAGTCATATATGTAGAGAGTGTAACAATAAGATATTCGAAGGTAGTGGGCTATCTCTGCCACGCATAAGTTGTATATACACCGGCACTTCCAATTAGTCGTGTGAAGCTGTTGGTTCATCGTCATATTCCTCTGGGATCTGCTCAAACAAACGATTTCAGATAATGGTCATGCAGCTGTGCAGCGGGGAATATTGACATTGAAACTGTGTAACAGAAATTAAGTTACAGATCTGATATTTTAAGAGTAACTATGAATGGAACGTCTTCATTGTTAACACACGACACGAGCATTATTATGGAATGATTAACCCAAATCACCTCGGCATCAGGCCATCTTCGTTTGAAGCTGCTGGCAATAGCTTTCTCGAATTCGTTCTCTTTTGAAAAGATAGCCACTGCACGTTCTTGAAAGTTTTCAGGAAGCATCTGGGATATCTGGAAAAAAATTAGATATATAAATATTTCATCGATCTAATAGGTGTACCATCTAATACTAATTCCGGCCCTTGTGAGGTTTATACTTACGACAAAAGTGGATAGAATTGTTTTTTTACTTTGAAACTTTACTTTTCTAAACACCTTTTATTAATTTTATTTAAACACAATTGTAATTGCCTTTCAATAGTATGCAGATTTTGGCCACAATAGGAAACATTAAAATCATCTACAAACAATGATTCACCAATTGAAACGTTAAAAACCTTTGATAAACTATTTATATTTATACTAAATAGTGTGATAGACAAAATACTGCCTTGTGGGACACCCTGATCATGATTGTAATGATCAGATAGGGTAGAACCCACGAGGACTTGAAACTGTCTTTCAGTTAAAAACTTGGATATAAATTGAGGCAACGGCCTCTCAATCCAAAATCGTGTAAATCTGTTTCCATGTACTGTCCTATGCTTTGTCTCAATCAAAAAAGACCGACACGGCAAGTTTTTTTTGAATAATGGCATTTTAAACAAAGGATTCTAAACGCACTAAGTGATCGATGGTACTTGTTTCCAAGTACCTCACAAGTTGATTATTTATCATGCGTTCCGTTTTAGGGAAACCACATTGAATAACGTCCAGGTTGTGGGATGGGAATCTAAACATGATTCCGGTAACTGCTTCAGAAGCTGATAATATATTTTATCAGCCCCTGTAGCAGTATCGTGAGCCTGGTCAAGAGCAGTGTGAAGCTCATGAATAGAAAATATTTCATCGTAATCTTCCCCATTATCTGAATTGAAATTAATAGTTTTCTTTTCCTGTTGTTTTATATACTTTTGAATTGATGTACATATATAATTCGATGTTTGGCCAAAGTTTCTCCAAGTTTATTTGCAATATCAGATTAACTAGTTAATAATTCGTCTCTGTCTTTGAGATGCTTAAGGCTAGATTGAGAGCCCTTACCTTTTATTTTCTGGATCATGTTCCATACCTTTGATATCGGCGTTCGTGAGTTTATTTGTGACACGTAATTTCGCCAGGATTGACGTTTATTGTGCTTGAAAGTACGCCGTGCCGTAGCATTTAAAATATTGAATGCATTCAAATTATGGACCATAGGATGTCGACGGAAATAATTCTCAGCTTTCTTTCGTGCCTTCCTAGCCTATTTGCACTCATTGTTGAACCATGGTTTTCGGGTGTGTGGAATTGCAGAGGATTTGGGGATACACTCATCAGTTATATTATTGAGTTCATCAGAAAAATCCTTTATGCCATCATTAAAAAGTTCAGGTTTAAGTCTGTCGCAACACAGAGTTTGATGTAAATGCCAGTTAGGTTTTTTAAAGTTCCACCTTGAGGATGGGGTGGCATCAGATGGGTTCACAGGTATTAATATTGTTGGAAAATGGTCACTTTCACAGAGGCCATTGTGGACTGACATTTCAAATTCATTCAATACGTGTGGGTCTGTAATTGATAAATCAAGAGGTGAATAAGTTCCTGTGCCAGGATGTAAATATGTGCTGGAACCGTCATTATATATGCATAAATCATTATCTGAACAGAACTCTTCCAGTAGTTTACCTTTCTGCATTAGTAGTTGTGCCACCCCAGAGTGGGTTGTGGCCATTTAAGTCCCCACATAATGCAGGGTTACGGGAGTTGGTCATATAGATTTTGAGTTCAGTCTTCTGAAGAGTTGAAGACGGTGAGATATACAAAGAGCATAATGTGAGCGCAACATGTAAAGTGGGTCGCACGGCAACAACCTGGAGACTAGCATCAAGTGAAACAGGGCTATGGATAACAGTCTGTTTAATAAGGATCGAAGATCCTGCAGTGGCCCTATCACCTGCAAGTGAAAAATAATCATATGCATTAAAAATACGTAATTTAAAAGTACCTGTCTGTTTTAGATATGTCTCCTACAGACAGATTGCGGACGGTGTAAAATCCTGGACTGCAATTCATTGAAATTAGTCCTTATTCCTCTGCAATTCCACTGTATGATATTATTTTGATAACCTATATTTTGGGGGGATTTGTTTGTTTTTTGGGGGGGAGGGGTCTACCCCACACTTTTTTCGTGGGCCACAATCTGTGTGCCCTAGAACGGATGTTTTCAGACACGTCCATGTCTTCAAGTGATCCATGTTTGTTGAACAATTGCATTTTATTTTCTGACCCTTTTGTTGGCTCTGCCACTTAGCGTTTTCGCGGAATCTGGCTTTTTACTTTTGGTTTTAACGAGTTGTCGACTGAGAAGATGGTTCATGATCAAGGGATGCCTGTGATTGAATTCGAGATGTCCCAGGAAGTGATTCAGCTGTAGATATAGCAGGTGAGAAAGGTTAAGAGGAATCCATTTTCACTCAAGTTAAGTTGGTTATTGTAGAGGTTGCTTCTGGATTTTATCTGGTAATGGAAGCATAGCTTTCTGTTAATTCTGAGCTTTCGCCCATTTTTTTGCATCTGCAAAACTGATGCTTTGGGCAAACTTTATTCTATTGATAGCCATTTGCTGTTTCCAGACAGGACAGTCTTTAAAGAACAATGGGTGATCCCCTGCGCAGTCACAATCTTCTGTTGTGTGTGTCTTTTCACGGCAGTGAGCACACACAACAGACAATGTGCAAGTATTTAAGCCATGGCCGAACGTTTGGCATTGGAAACACCTAAGAGGATTCGGAATGTACGTGTCAACATTGATATTACAGTTCCCTGCCTTAAGTGATTTTGGAGCAGTAGATGAAGACAAGGAAAACAGATAGGTATTAGTTTTAATGGCTGTGTTGTTTTCACGGGTTGAGAAACGTTTGACATATAGTACACCCTGATCTCTCATCTCGGAAGCGATATCAAGTTCCGGCATGTCTGCCAGCAATTGGTCACGATATATGACGATTCCCTTGCTTGTTAAGTGTCTTGTGAGCGTTGACGGTTACAGGAATGCCAACAGAAGTGTCAGTGTTCAACGGGTTGGTTGATTGTTGTCTTTTGGCGCACTCAGTCAACAGCGCACCAGAACGAAATCTTTTAATGTTCTTCACATCGCCGGCAATGCTTTGGATACCCTTAGACACAGCAAAAGGGTTTAGACACAGCAAAGGATTTAATTTTAAGGGTGTATTATCTTTGGTCTCAATTACAACAAAACGTGGCCAGTAATCAATTGGTTTGGGCTGTCTGAGGTCGTTGTCAACATGGTCATTTTAGAGAAGACGTTTGTTTCTGGGTTTTTTTGTGGGGGTTTCAAAAGCCATGGTTAGTGTTTATATTTCATCATCCGTGCTCCCCGCCCACCACGGAGTAGCACAAGGACAATGCTGAAAACCAGTTGGTCTCCGACTTGCAGCACCAGGGAAACTCGGATGATATACTCAAGCGCAAAACTAAAAGAACAATTTTCCCACCAGATTGGCCCATGAGCCATTGCCTTCTGGGCATACGACTCTAGGCAAGAACATACATGAAATTATGCACATTTGGAATCATTGGTTCAAAATAATTGGCCAAGCTTGAAATATCAAGTTGTTAATTTTGATTAATTTTGACCATCACGTATTTAAAGCTCAGGGCTCGGCATGACCAGACGATTGATTGAACCGGGCCCATTCTGACACCCGTCTAGGTGAAGTCAGGGCCGAAGTGGTGTGTTGGGCAAAGGAACACTGTTCCTGGAACCAGTGCCCTCAACCACCAGAATCCCTTCCTCCACGGACACAGGGGCGCAACCTACGACAAACGGGTTGACCAATTCGTTCTTACAACCAGCAATGGGGTGCTGTGGACCAATAAGCCCCCGGGTCAACAAGGGGTTGAAGAGCTATTGGCGTTATCCAGCACCCACCACGAGGAGGATGCTCTACAAGGATGCCAGATTGTGGAATGACTCTTTAATCCAGGAATTAGTGTTGGAAAGGGGCAGACAAGTACATTGATTCCAATTGGTATCCCGTCCGTGAAGGGCAAGTAGCTGGCCACAAGTCAAGAAGTTGCATTGTGGGGGCCAACAGCCAGCATTGATAATGGAAGCATGGAATCTTGTTGTCGTAATATAACTGTCAAGGCAGAAGACAAAACGCTAATAGGTCACCATTAGTCACGCGATACTGTGATCTCAACAAGATATACACTATCAACAACAACAACAACAACAACATTTTGCGAGCGCCTCAATAATGATCAGACATATACATGTACTAAACAATGACACAAAACAAATGCTCATTATTAGTAACACAACCAACCTTCAAAATATATAGCTGAACATCTTGAAATTTAAATAGAAAGTTTTAAAGTTATTCTCAAGGTGTAATCTTACACATCAAAATGTGAGTATTTAATGTATTAAATTTCAGTGATACCTTCGCCATACCACCTTACGTGGCAATGGGAGATCATATAACTCTTAGACGCGAGAAGCAAAGAGTCTCCATACCTGTTCTTTCGAAAGGGAGAAGGCCATTTCAGGGTTTGTTTTGCTATAAAACCGGACATTGCTAATTGGATCCTTTTTCTTCTTTCCATAATCGAAAGACATCGCCTATAAAAATACATAACCATACATAATGTGACGGATATGTTTATTGGTATACTAACATCTGTAGAACGAGTCACGGAGAACATGATGATGCATTCGTTTTGCATTTTGTCCCAAGTGTATATCGTTATTTACCGATGACAATGAATGCAAAACAAAGAACGTGATGTGCCTGAACGCAAGAGTACTGAATGCAAAGATGCTGGTGTCCTTCACTGGATTCTGTCTCATACATATGAGTATGTATGCGGAAACAATTCTCCAAACAAACGTGACACACATTAAGGCTGAAGTTGTCGTTGTCAGCACGGGTACTACAGATATGTTCCCCAGGTCCTTTTCTGTATACAGAAACGTACGTTAGCTAAAATCAGAATACAGAAACCTACCATAGGATGGGTCCATTCCGCAGTGTGCCGTTATCCTGATAGGAACTGTCATACTGTATATTTAGATGCTTTTGATTGCATTATAGAAGACACAACCATACACAGTAACGAACATTTCGCAACAGACACAACAAATCCCAATCATGGGAACAACTACATACATTTAGGTTGCGAAATATGGACTTGTGCCCGTTGAGGGTACCTGGTACGTTTCTGTATTTTGACTTTGTTCACTTTGTGTACTTAGGTACATATCTGTAGTATCTGTGCCGACAATGACCCTTCAGCCATATTTAGATATCATGATGATGATGACCGGTCACTATAAGACAGAGACCGTAAATGTGTCCGTAGCCGATTTACATCAGTTACAGCTGCAGAGGATGAACGTTACAGCTGCGGATGAACGCAAGGAGGGAGAATGTACAAAGATAACAATATAATTACAAAGCCAATTAGACCGGATAATGTACAAAGAAAACAATAATTATTAGCTCTGAAACGCAAACAAAATGAAAATTGTGACAATAGAATTAGGTTTGAAACGTCGTATAAAGAATAAAAAGAAGTTGTTATCCACAAAACGTGTCATGGATTCATGTTCGTCCAACTTCTAAATGCCTTTCGAGAGATTGGATTAACCCAAATAATGCCTCAGTAAATATGCAGCTTTGTGAAATAACTTCCTCATCATTGCTGAACACCAACTGTTATCATTTCGTCTCGACTTTCAAGGATATTGTTGATTTATTAAAAAATATAAACGTGCTACGTTAATTTTCTTGCGATTTGAGAAATTGAAACATGAGTTTTACCTACAGCGATTTCAAAGTGTTCTTCACTGAAGTCCTCTCCTCCTTCCTCTATGATTTCCTTCTTTGTCTGCTGAATGTCCAGCTGAGAAGAAAATATTGAACTGTAACAGTTATTCTTCATACACACAAACTCAAAACGTTGACACAGTTTCTGCAAATACGGAATGTACCTACAAATTTGGTTCAACGTACAGGTTCTCTGAGTTCTCCATTGTGAGTCTTGCTGTGACGCATGTATGAAGCGTTGGTCTGATGTCTCTATATGTCTCAGCCATATTCCTCAGCCACGATAGAATATTAAGGTGGGCAGAGGTTCGATTGATAAAAATCAGCTGTAATTTCCCTTTACCTTGTAATAGAAATAGTGTGTGCGTATGTATTTTCCCCTTTCACTCTACTGACTCCTACATATGCGCCAGTGAACATCTAGACAGAGGGATACCAGGCGCTATACAAGTGAATTATTATTATTATTTTTATTATAGATGAAACACTGACAAATGGCAGCTGCATCCACAATGATGCATTGTACCCATATTTAGCAACAGCACCATATGTACGAAACTCATCATACATACATTTTCCTCAGGTGATAAAATGCGTTTGCCAACACACTTGTACAAGTCTCTTGACCGGAGTCTTTTCAGTATGCCTCTTGCTCTTTCCAGTTTGTCTCTTGCTGTTTTCTGTTCTTCTGTAATTGGTTAACAGAAATTAGATTGATTCGGTACAATTATTTGATTTGTGCACAAATTAGAGACATAAGTGAAAAAAGCATCCATTGGTAATGTTACACATCCAGGCACTTTTGACTGTATGTGAGTAAATTGACAACCGGAAACATAGATCAATTTCAGAATATTTTGTTCACTCATTCTCGGTAGCCATCTTGGAGACGGTTTCATTATTCTACTTGTAGTACTAAACTACGACCATTTGTGTCAGCGATAAGTCATGCACAAGTGAAAATAATGAAGCTTTCAAGAAACCTAAGTTCTTTCAATGTATAGTTACAGATTACCACTCTGTTATCGGATGGTGCATTCTTTCCATGATATGTTACATATATGTGAGAACTGAATGTATTGGCAGACTTTTATTCCAGTTACGACAGTGCAATGTCTGATGTTCACCGGTGTCTTGGTGACTTGTTCCCAGTGTTATAGGAAGCTCCACCAACTGAAGGATGCTGTCATTCAGCTTGGAGTAGGCCGCCATATCGTCAATGCATTCAGATATGTTTCGGTCTGTTGGTACTTCACTGAAACAGAATTTGTCAGATATTGCATTCGTCTCTATTTTGTATTGTAAAAATATATTAAGCGTTGGTATCTACATTTCTGAGTAGATTCAAATTTTCTTTAGTATTGTCTTAGGTTTCTGCCAGTAGAGCCCGACATGCTTTTCCTTTTGGCGAACACCTGATTTTCATTCATCCTCTCATACAGCAGTCGACCGCCTCCATGGTCTAGTGGTTACAGCGTCCGCCCGGAGAGCGGAAGGTCGCGGGTTCGATCCCCGACAAGTCATACCGAAAAACGTTAAAATATGGTACTTGTTCGTCCCTGTCTGTCGCTCGGCATTCATGGGTACAACAAGGACTGGTCGGATCGGAGTCAGTATAATGTGTCTGAGTGGGGTATTCATGCTTTACTGCGGCGTGGTATCTCAGTGGACTAGCACTATAAGACCTGCTTAAGTCTGGGCTAGTAGTAGTAGCCGCACATACACATTCACACGCATGAACGTCGTCATATGAGCGAAATATTCTCAAGCACGACGTTAAACCCAATTTCACCTCACCTCACCTCACCTCATACAGTAGTCACTGGCTCCTACTGTGACAGATACATAAGTAAGAAGTCATGTACATATTAGTTTTATGTCCTTTAACAATTTTATGAATATTTGTATATTAACAGTTACAATGCAATGGCAGGATATCACTTCATATTAGGATATTTATGGATACTTGTATATTAACGGTCACTTTGCCTTGCAGGTATATTATTTCTTATTTATAGTGAGTGAGTGAGTTAAGATTTTAAGTCACATCGGCAATATTTCAGCCATATCTTGACTACAAGGTATAATTTTACAATAAATGAAGGTAAATTATAAAAACCTATCAGCAAAGGACAGCAAAACAACTAGTATATCACACATTTCAATCTAAAACTAGTAACTAACAGTAACATACTTTAACTATAGAGGACAACACAATATAAAAACAGGCTATGTATTGCCAATCCCTTCAGCCGTTAGCAATTTAGATAAATCTAGCCATAGATTAAAATAACATATACTACAATTAAAAATAGTAGTAGGTTTAAATTTACTGTGAATGCATTGGGACTTACGTACCTCTTATTTATAGTAATGAATACTTTTCTATCAACAGGTCTGTTCATTTTGAAACTGACTATTCTCATCTTAACACATGTCTATTAATAGCTATGCAGTCAGTGCTATTCTAGTTTAATTAAGGGTGGTTAGGTAGGGTCATTACATTATTATGTACCCTTATATGATCCAATCTGATTGGATCATTTAAGCTGTTGCAATCTTTTACTAAGTTAAACCTTCACTTCTCTGTCACTGCTTGCACCAGCAAGACGTCTATCCGGTGTTGGGATCTATTCGCTTGGTAACATCACCACAGGTCAGTTTAATATGTTGTATCAATTAATCAGTGTGTATACATTTAAATGCTACATTGTTAATGTTTATGTGTAAATGTAAGCTGTAACTTATGTGTTAATATCAACTGTAACTTGTCTGTAAGTGTACAAGTTAGGTTCAACCAGTCACTTAGCTAATTTCAAACCCAATAATGTTTTAGTGTATAATATTTAATATGAAAGTATCCAAATAAGTTAGCTAGTTCATTAAAGTGTTTCCAGTTTTTACAAGTGAATAGTTGCATATTTGGACGTTTGATGGAGTGATTTTATAAATGTGAGAAAGGATAGTGTACATGTGAATGTAAGTATGAATGTGATATTAGTTTGAACTGGTTATATTATATCCTAGGTTTTGAAATGATAGCAGATATATATATAGTTTGAGTTATCGTTGCTGTAACGTTGATTATTGGTTAAACAGATTATACGTACGCTTGACTGGCTTGACGGCGCTGCACCGGGTAGGAATTTCTTTGTCTTGTTAAAAATGTTTATGTAGCATTGTGTCATTCATATATTGTATCTGGGCATGTTTATAGATTTCATATGCCTCTACCTTAACCATATTTATGTCATTTATATGTAAGCAGTATATCAAGGAGTGATCGCCCCTTGTAGTCTATGTAACTAGAATGTTTATGATTGCGGAATTTCATCTAAGAGGTGTAATGACGGATTTTAAATCTTATGTACATATAATTTCAGGGGTGGAAATAACTTTAAATTTGCTAGTGTACTCCGGTACAGTGGCACATGTAAAATCACTTGCCCTGATAATTTTTCCACTATACTGGCCGATTTTCTTGTTGATGTTCTAAATATGCAACATAATTAACATTGGAAAGTCAACTGGACACCGGTACAGTGTGATATACAAATTTGCTTGCCAAACAGAAACACACACTGGACTGGGGCGTCGGGCAATGGGTTATTTCCACCCCTGATAATGACTTTGTATTTATTGAATCATGTGTTGTTGGAGGGTGTTGTTATTATCAGGAATAAAAGTTCTCATCCCCGTAACCAGAGACCTGGACTTATTGACAACCAAAACTATCCCGGTTACACTATGCTCAATGCATCCTGTATCGGCTTCTACGCCTTCTATCGGTGGATAATCGAGAATGCATAGTCTCTGACGTTGACGGTTTATGTTTACCTTGTGTGTTGTATGTACTCGATCTGACAAATGGAGAATGCTCTTTCTAAAAATGTCTGATTCAATTCTCTATTGTGAGTTGTGAAGTACGTCCCCATCTTGTTGTGTTTCAGGTGCACAACTGACTTACGCTCTCGTGTTTTTTCTCGAAAACCTGATGTCATTACTATGAATCGGGAGCACGTTGCCGTATAGCCGAGAGCCGCGATGCGGTCCTATACAGTCAAGACATGACCCTGCATCGCGGCCGAGAACACCACCTTCTTAAATCCTATTCAGATTCTAGTGGCCGATTACCCCTCGTATTTTCTTGAGATTTTTTAAATATATTTCCTGTGGGTTTTTGACTGAAAAGTCGATACCGATGTACTCCCAGATAATTTCCCTATACATACACGTAACTGTCATATTTGTGTGATCATACATTTAGATATTAATGGGCCTGAAACCCGTTGAGTTCTTGTTTCAACGATAGCGAGCTGACATGTTGACATGTTGTGCGCATGCGCCAAATTTCTATAGTCCGTATCGGAGGACATTCTTCATTAGCGGTTCGCAATACTCACTCTCGCCTCCCGTTTCGCGCGCTCGTACTTTGGGTGAATCACACTTAATGTATATTAAATTTATCTGCCTTTATATCATAATTTACAGATTTTCCTTGCAGAGAGGATTCCATTCATATCTCTACAAAAAGATGTGTCCATGGTATCTAGCAGATTTATTAATATACAACGCAGTGCACAGAAGCCTTAACCCCATGGATGCCGAGGTTTATTTTCTCTGAAGTTCTGAAAAATGAACGTTGAGCGACAATTGCGTTAGCGATGCACTGCTTCTAGCTACGGCTATAACACAGATATGTAGAATATTTAATTTCCTATCCGATGATGTAAATTTGAAGCACAAGTACACAGGCGGTTTGGAAAGTAGACTTTGTTAAAGGTTGTCCGCAATTTTGTTATGCGTTGAAAAGCAGTAAATGTCTCCGTTTACAGCGGGACGATTTCTTTATTTGGCATCTTTGATGAAACTTTGTGCGAATAAAATACTGCGTGATATCTGAACGACATAACAATATATGAAATGGATTTGTATGCTTATGTATAACTTTCTACGTTCAATGTGAAAAATGGCTTGATGAAAGTTGATTTTCCTCTGACGTAAGGGACGACAGAGAGGACACACGCACGCACGCACGCACGCACGCACACACACACACACACACACATATATACACGATGAGCCAATCTGTTTCAATACAAAAATCCACATTGTAACCGGATACGTTTTGGTATTATCACAAATTATACAGAATTAGGAAATCGCACATGAGAAAAGAGGTAATGGATGGTCCTATCTACCTAGAAGTTAGTTGTTAGATTCCCAAACTCTCTTGATTATGTAGATGTATTTTGACTAACTAAGCATCATTAACAGAGATCGAGCCTTATTTTCAAATGTAATGAAATTTCTGAAAATACGACACCACATTAGTTGTATATTGTAAATATTTGGCAAAGCCGGAGAAAGATGACATCTGTATGTTGTTTAGTATATATCTCACCTAATTTCCGTTCCAGGTATAAAAATCTCGGTTTATCATAGTATCAAATGTCTATTTTTTAGCTATCATTAGATCTCATGTTCGTAATCTGATGGAGAAGAAGTGAGTGAGTATTGTTTTACGCCACTTTTAGCAATATTCCAGCAATATCACGGCGGGGGACACCAGAAATGGGCTTCACACATTGTGGCAGAATAAGTTGGACATGTGCACTGAAGTAGGTATCAATAAATTACATTCAATAAAACCAACTATCGGTTGACGAGGTTATTATGCGAAGAAGTCGTATTGGACACACAAGATATACGCCTGAATATTTACTAAAAGGTAGTCCGCTTTGTGTCCCTCGTGATGAAAGAATCGCAGTCAAACATGTCCTGCTTGACTGTTATTTTTCCATCATAAAGGATAAATATTTCCGTGCCAAAACGGTTAAAGATCTTTTTAATAATGTTAACTGTCATTTAATTATTGATTTTATAAAAGAAATTGATCGGATCGATAAAGTTTGATTGATCTGTTTTTTAGATACATGTATATGCATTTTTATTTCCCCGGCATGTAATGTGGGGATATAGTCGTCGCCTCGTCCATCTGTCCGTCCGTGATCATTTTGTTTCCGGAGCATAACTCAAAGACTGTTGATATTTTTCAACACAAATTGGTAGATATGTCAAACATAACCTAAGGTGGTGCCTTTGCTATTTACAGATTATTCGCATTTGTATTTTTCTCGGTTTCCATGGAAACGTTTTGGACTTAGTCTTAAAGAGGGGTGGGCTTCGTATCGGGGAGCATAACTCAAAAAACCGTTCAATATTTTTCAACAAGACTAGGTAGATATATCAAACAGAACCTTAAGTGGTGCCATTTGCTATTTGCAGATTTTTGGCATTTTTATTTTTCCCGGTTTCCATGGAAACGATTCGGACTTTGTCTCAAAAGGAGGGGTGCGCTTCGTTTCCGGAACACAACTCGAAAACAGTCCAATATCTTTCAACAGAGCTTATAAGATATATGAGACATACCCGAAAGTGGTTCCTTTTATTATTTGCGGATTTTGGATATTCATATTTTTCCCGGTTTCCGTGTAAACGATTCTAACTTAATCTAAAAAATCAAGTTGGACTTTACGTAGCTGTCAAATGATCTTCTTCTTGTTGAAAAATATTGAATGGTTTTGAGTTAGGACTCTGGAAACAAAATTACATGCCGGGGTGTGGGTTGGGTTGGGTTGGGTTGGGTTGGAGGGAGTGTTAAATGAATTGTTTTAGTCACGATATAGCTAAAATATTGCCGGTGTGACTATAATCTTAACTCACTCACTCACCATTTGAATAATGTCCAGGATAGATAAACAATTGGATAGTTTACCATGTATCTTACCGTGTACAACGCGCGCACCTGTTTCGCTTCGGTTTCGCGAAAGTCAAAGAAAATATTTCAAAATATAATATTTATGTTCCAATATTATGCCCGGATCAGGCTTCTGATTGTTCATTATCATGTGGCTATTCTTTTCATAGTTATACGAAGAATGAATTGAACTTAAAAATACCGCTTTGGTACGAACTATCAGAGGGATGCTTGCGATTGGGCAAAAGGAGGACATGTCATGTTTTTAAAAAAAAAATTGGTACAGTTCTTGCAGAAATAAAGTGAACAGTTTAATATCATGTCATGGGATTATTGGCAATATATAGTGATTATGCCGTGTATATTATAAAAAACAAAACGAGTATATCGTTAAACGTTTGTGACAAACGCACACCTAGTAAATCATTAAACACCATTGTCAATAAAGTGAGTGAGTGAGTTAAGATTTTAAGTCACATCGGCAATATTTCAGCCATATCGTGACTAAAGCAAGTTATAAATATATCAAAAATTTAAGTGAAATTATAAAATTCTGCCGACGAAGGACAGTAAAATAACTAGATTATCACAGATATAGATATAAAACTAGTAACTAAATCTAAAACATTTGAACTATACAAGACGATACAATATAAAAAACAGGCTATTGATCGCCAACAACTGAAGGTAGATCACCATACTAGGGACCATGGGGACTTACAGTACATTTGCTTCCTGCATGGACCATTGTCAATAAAGGAGATATATTACAAATTCCATAACCATGATAATTCCTAATAAATATGTGTGTATATACATTTAAACATATATTAATAACTCTCCTCAAGTAAAACATTCTGTTGTACTAACATATATTTTAAAGTAATTTTCTTTGAGAACATACAAATCTTATCAAATCTATAAATAATATATGGAAAGAATCTGTATCATTTGATAGCATGTTGGAAGAACCATTCGATCCATGTAACCTCAGAACTTTATACATGGAGGGAAAAGTATGCAGATTAATCTATGCTATTGTGTAAAGGATATTGCCTTAAAGGAAAAAGTAGTCAATAACAATGGCAAACTGATATTTATACAGAAATATCGAAATATAATTAGATGGAAAACTATTTACCGTTAAGAACAACGAATAAGACAAAGTTAAGATAATTAATTCCAACACCATATTATTCATAGAATGCTGACAACAAATATAAAATTGTAGCATATTCTCTATATTCTTTGTGCAATGCTGAAAAACTGAACATATCATTCGTTTGTTATTTGAATGTACACAGGTAAAACTATTGAGCCACAACCTTATAAAATAGACAGAAAATAAATCCGGTACTAAACTAAAAGTAGAATAGAATCACATCATTTTTTTGATTTAAAGACAAATGTAATCACGTCTGAATTTAATATACCTTGCAACAAATATTATGTCTACACAAAAAAATATCTCCATAATACTACCGAACTAAAACATATCCTGAAATCTATATCATTCAGAAAAATGTATCTCATACACAGTCTGTGAATACGACAAATTTGTGACCTTGTTTTACATAACCATACTATATTGTACGTGTCCTTTGCACTACGTTGTATATTAATAAATATGCTTGATCCCCTGGACACATCTTTTTATAGAGATATGAATGGAATCCTCTCTGCAAGGAAAATCTGTAAATTATGACATAAAAGCAGATCAATTTAATATACATTAAGTGTGATTCACCCAAAGTACGAGCGCGCGAAACGGGAGGCGAGAGTGAGTATTGCGAACCGCTAATGAAGAATGTCCTCCGATACGGACTATAGAAATTTGGCGCATGCGCACAACATGTCAACATGTCAGCTCGCTATCGTTGAAACAAGAACTCAACGGGTTTCAGGCCCATTAATATCTAAATGTATGATGACAAAAATTGACAGTTACGTGTATGTATAGGGAAATTATCTGGGAGTACATCGGTATCGACTTTTCAGTCAAAAACCCACAGGAAATATATTTAACAAATCTCAAGAAAATACGAGGGGTAATCGGCCACTAGAATCTGAATAGGATTTATGAAGGTGGTGTTCTCGGCCGCGATGCAGGGTCATGTCTTGACTGTATAGGACCGCATCGCGGCTCTCGGCTAGTGGCCGTAATAGTCGGAATGCTACAGCTTTTTAGGGGCAGAGATTTCATGTTAACATGGACATGGTTTAGCGCATTTATTCAACTCAAGGGAGGTAACTTGTGCTTCCGGGTGGCAGAGTTGTCACAGAAATATATATAAGAAATATTACTGCATTTCACTTCTTTTTGTAATCTGGCTTTAGAAACTGATAGTGAAACTGTATTTACCCATCCCTTCCCGATATCCGTACGATGTTGTCAACTGTTTGGAGTGCATCGACAATCCTGAAAATACACAATCAGTATATTCAAAATACAGCTACGATTTATAAGTTTCTTCTGTGTTGCTTTTGAGAAACGAGGTAAATGCACAAACAGAAATATCTTGAGTATATTCGACGCAGTTTCCTACGTTTTGCACATAATTTCGTTGTTTCATATATTTTCTCAATATCGTAGAATGTGTAGATGTACATACATGAGCTCCACTCCAATTTTAACTTTATGCTGGTAGGCCCGTCGGTGTAACATCATCCGAGTGTGAAACATGTCGTACAGGTTATTGGCCTCCTGCAGTCAACACAAACAGAAAATGAATCTGTTGTATTGGGAGGTAAATAGAAGAAAAGAGACGGCAATTTTTTTTTTATGATACACATTGGTGACACAGTTAAGCACTGATGAGACCTCTTTAACCAAGTTAAAAACAGATAATTCAACTTGTTAAAAACCTGGTCAAATGGTCTACTGTATCATTCTATTTTTTAATATAGTGATATCTAGTTTTAGACTATGATTCAAATTATCATTTTAAGATCCCGGTGAGAGAATATATAAGCCTCTTAAACGGTGTTTGGAAATTCATTCTCAGCTGAATCTTTGAAGTGAAATTCTCTTCTATGCTCTTGACTCTACTGTTGGCTGTTTATCGAAAGGCAAGAATGTTATGGATGTCAACTTCTTTATTGTGAAGGGTCACGACAACAGCAACAGTTATGAGATAACAACGGAAACCAGTACTTAATTGGTAGATAGGCAAGTGGAATCCAGGGATTGCTAATCCGGGCATGATTAAGATAATTTAACAAGAGGTGGGTGTGGTTGGGGGGGGTGGGTGGGTGGGTGTATATTTAGCACTAACTTGGTGGATGGACAAGTGGAAGCCAGGGATGGTTAATCCAGGCATAGTTGTTTAGGTAACAATAGTGGCATATAACAGGGGGTAAAAGACCAAATGGAAGCCAAGCCTTAAAAGTAATAATTACAAGGACAATGAGGCATGCAGTGATGATTAAATTAGATTAATAAGTCCCAGGCGCTAGGCAGATATGTTCCCTGGTCACGGTTGATAGCTGGTTGGCTTCTTCTGATGTCTCTGGCCTCTTGCAATTTTCTGTGCCGCCAATTGTTGTTGCTAATTCGGGGCGTATAGTGTTTTACTCCCAATAATGGTGTCATTTTTGAGACATTAAAAGGATAAACTGGTTCGCTTAATTTCTGTTTAAATTGCTTTATATTCAGTTTTCGAGCATATCTTGTAATTGCCTTTTTCACTGATTCATACGTTAAGTAATTGGTTTTTATTGTAAAACTAATTGGAAAATTCTATATATGTGAACAGTCTGCCTTCTTCATGTATTAAATCATTCACAAAAACGACACCTTTTTTGTACCACTCAAGATACAGAAAAGGGTGACTATTAGTTCTGATATTGTCGCTATTCTATAAGGATTGGCATTGTATCTCTTCTTCATTTACAATTTCTCTTTTACACATGACTATAAAGTTTGACCATTCTAAAAGTATGTCTTTCCAAAGGGAGTTAGTTGAGGAGGGAATTATTTCATTTTGTTTGTAGTAACTATCCGTCAGTAAAAATTGGGGCCTGATTTTAAACAGACTGGAGAAGAGAAACGTCCATTTGAGGTCATTACCGCTTATTCTCTTTATCCATTTTAGTTTTTGTGAAGATATAATTTTTCGAATATTTGGAGTTTTTATCCCCCCATGCTCTGGGTTTATATAATCTTATCAGGTTCATTTTTCCATATGAAGTCTTTCGATGACACATTTTGTTGGATTTGGTAGAGATGAGAATAGATGGTTAAGCTTAGGTAGTAGAAGTGATTTAAGAACAGTGTTTCTTCCGTACGGGGTTAAGGTACGAGCTGTCCAAATGTTCATTTGCCTTTCAATCTGGGCTAGTTTTTCGTTGTAGTATATTTCAACCATATTATCAAGATCAATATCGAAATGTATTCCCAAGAGCGTGAAGTCTGTTTGTGACCAGTCAAACTTCCATTCTTTACACATCTTATATCGGGATCTCTTTTTGGAGCCTATCCATATTAGTTTAGTTTTATCTACGTTGACTTTCAATCCTGAAAAACGGGAAAACAGTTCAAAAGTACTCAGAATTGCATGGAGGCATTTCTCTGATCCGTCTAATATAAGTGCTGTATCATCTGCGAACTGTGATAGAAGATATGCTATACTTCCAAGATTAATCCCCTTTATATTTTTGTTGTTTCGTATCATGATACCCAGGATTTCTACACACAACAGAAAGGTGTACGGCGCTAACGGGTCCCCCTGGCGGCATTCCCGACCTATTTTAGAAAGGAGTTGACGCAGATCCATTTACCAAGACTCTCGATTCAATATCATTATAGAATGTTTCTATCCAATGTGAGATGCTGGGTCCAAAATTAACAAGATGACAAAGTCATCAATATCCCCCGCAATGGCAAAATACTTTTCATGATTATGTCTACGAGTTATGATTATGTCAAATATTTAGGTGTGCATATAGAAAAGCGGAAGGAGAGTATTGAAAGGTTATTAAAGTTCTGCTCCAGAAAGGAGCACAATCACCAATTTCAGTCTATGTCAAACTTGTTGCCATGGAAATGCCAAAAATATTATATTCAGCAATCCAAAACTACCAAATGGCACCAGTACACCACCAGATCTATCTATGTGCCAAGTTTGGTGAAGAAATAGTGAACGGTTTTAGAGTTCTGCTCCGGAAAAGTGCACTACCACTAATTTCAGTCTAAGTCGAACTTGGTGCCATGGAAATGCCAAAAATATTTTATTCAGAATTCCAAAACTACCAAAAGGTACCAGTACACCACCAGATCTATCTATGTGCCAGGTTTGGTGAAGAAATAGTGAACGGTTTTAGAGTTCAGCTCCGGAAAAGAGTACTACCACCAATTTCAGGCTAAGTCAAACTTGTTGCCACGGAAAAGCCAAAAATATTATATTCAGAATTACAAATCTACCAAAAGGCACCAGTACACCACCAGATCTATCTGTGTGCCAAGTTTGGTGAAGAAATAGAGTTCTGCTCCGGAAAAGACAAATGTGCACGGAATTACGGACGGATTCCATTTTAATATCCCCCGCAAAATGCGTTGCGGGGGATGAAAAACTTTAATATCTTGCTGAGGTAGAGTCTATCTACTGAATCGAAGGCTTTTACGAAATCAGTGAGAAGTAGGCTAGGAATCTGGCAGGTTTCGGTGTATTCCATTAGGTCACATATAAATCTGGTTACCTCGCCAATATATCTTCCCGTGACAAAACCCTTTTGGTCTTTATTATTAATACTAGGTAATACCTTTTTAATTCTGTTTGCAATTGCTGCAGCTCCAGCTTTGTATGAGGTATTTAGTAGGGAGATAGGGTGCCAACTTTTCAAAAATGTCTTTGGTTTATTAGGTTTAGGTATACATGTTAGCGATCCCTGTTTTTGCGAGATCGATAACTTTCCATTTTTATAAACACAGTTTAGTGAATTAAGAAGAAATTCTCCTAAATCTGTCCAAAAGAACTTAAGAAATTCTGAAGTAAAACCATCGGGCCCTGGTATTTTTTCATGTTTTTAAGAGCGTACGATAGCTTGTTCATTTTTAATTCCCCTTCCAGGTTACATTTGTCCTGGTCCTTTATAACAGGTACGTTTTCGTTTTCAAACAATTTGACCAGATTAACATCGGACTGGCCCTGTGCAGTGTATATTTTTTCAAGAGTTTTGTTTCTTGAAGTAATTGTTTACTTTCTGTTTTATAGTTGTTCCAACATTCCTTCCCAAAACAGTTATGGACTATTGAGACAGTTTCTTGACTCTAACTTTTAAAATTATTTTGTTGGTCTTTCCCCCTTTTCGACCCAATTTGCTTTAGATCATATAAGCATTCCGTTTATTTTATGGTTGGCAATTTCATCTAGCTCATGTTTTAAAACATTTATTTCATTTAGTAGAGTTTGCATAGTGTCACCATCCTCATTTAGGTCTAATTTCTATTCTAGATCATCTTGCCTAGTTTCTAAGTCCCTGATCATAAAGAGGAATGTTTCCCAGAGTAGTTGATCATCAATAGAGTATTTGTTTGGTTCCTTATCTTTTTTATATTGGTCTAGTGTTGATTTTATCGTATCTTGTACTAGTTTTACGTATTTCCTATCTCGAAGGAGTGAACTGTTAAATTTCCAGAAACCCATTCCCAAAGCTAAAGTAGAAAAAGTCATAGACAGGGAGATTAGTGAGTGGTCAGAATTTATACTTGGTAGAATATCGCTGTTGTTAACCGTAGATGGTAGACCATGTGAAATCAGGAAGAAATCTAGTCTCGCTTGTTTGAGGGGACTGGGTTGCCGCAAGGTGAAGCGTCTAATATCGTAGTTATGTTCACGCCAAGATCTTTCAGATCAAATTTATCAATCATTTCAAAAAACTTTATCCCTCTGCTTTGGATTATTGATGTGATTATAGTTGTAAGTGTCTAGTTGTTTGTTCATAACGAGATTCCAATCTCAAAAAAAACATATTTCATCACTATCATAGTTCATAATTATGTCCATTATATTCAGGAAGAAATCTGTTAACAGAAGACATCTGATGATCCTCCTGGTCCTCAAACCAGCACGTCTCAAACGATTCCTCACAGTTACCCAGGAGATTCGTCGACCTGGTAACCACAGACGTCGCAGATGTCGGACATATGTCGTAATAGGGCTCTTGTCTTCACGCTATGAGGTCACTGGTGGTCTTCCAGACCTGGGCCCATCTCTGACTACATCTGCCTGTACTTTCTGACCAGCCGACTGGTGACAGTGTAGTGGATGTTCAAATGACGTCCAATCGCTTTAAAACACAGTCCAGTTGAATGCATTCCGATAATTCGCCATCTTTGAGATTCAGTTATCTTCCTTCGTGCCATAATGACCACATGTGACAGTATTGGTATTGGTGGTCTCTTAAATACAGATATTGTAGGGCGAGTACAAACTGCTTTCTGTGGAAAGCGTGCGCTGTTGCGTTCGCGTGCTGAAATGGTTGGGTTTTCGTATTGTGAGTTGAGTTGAGCTTTACGTCACATCGGCATTATTCCAGCCATATAGTGACGAGAACAAGTTTGCACCAGTAAACATTGTAAGTACATACTCGGAATGAGTTTTATTTCAAGGACATATATTGATTACATTGTCATTTAAAAGCAAAGAAAGTAATAGCATCAAATTTAAAGGCAGGCAATTTGTTAGTCACGTTTCATAGTTACAATTTATTTCGTGACTGATTCCGTTTAGCACTACTGAAACAGGTTGATAATCATCTACTCAAGCAAATATAACCTTACCAAACCACTTCATCAAAGGATTGAGTGATTCACTTCAATTTAATGAATGGCGGCCATGCCTTCCACGTCACCAACACGTTTTGTGATGTTGCACATGTCTTGTTTTAAGTCGTTTATGGCCTTATTTAATGCCATATTCCCGTTTCTATGTTATCAAAGAGTCTTTCCTCCATATTGGCTAGAAGGTCTTGAGAGATGAGGGGAGCTAGTTATTGCCTCTAATCTCACATTTCATCTAAAGCCACGAGCCAAGTACACTCTCTCAAAAAAGAAACGCAACCCCTGTTTTTTTTGGTAATGTTTATATCAATTTTAACTGGTTATTGCATTTGTATTTTTAAAGATAATGCCATGAAATTTGACATGGTGAACCTTAGGTCAGCACGGTATAAGGTAACAGTTAATGCAGGTCAGTATCGAACTCTCAATTTACGCTAGGGGGCGTTGTCTTCAGTATCTCGTTGTAGAGCCACGAGCTCTAATCACAGCAGTGCACCTCCTCGGAACAGAACGAATCAGACGGCGGATGTTTTCCTGGGGGATTGCTCTCCACTCTTCCTGGAGTGCTGCGGCCAGTTCAACCAACGTGTGCGGTTGTGGTGTACGTGCACGAACACGACGATCCAGCTGGTCCCACAGATGTTCGATAGGATTGATGTCTGGCGATCTGGAGGGCCACGGCATCACGTTGACGTTTGAATTCTGTAGGAATGCCACTGTTGCACGAGCTGTATGAGTGCGGACATTGTCATGTTGAAACAACTCCCTCTGTTGGTCGATTATCGGCAGAAGATGTGGCTGTAAGACGTCATCAATGTACCGTTGTGCCGTCAAATTGCCACGAATGATGACCAAGTCTGACAGTTGGTTGTAAGACATGGCTCCCCATACCATGATGCTTCCTCCTCCAAATCTGTCGACCTGTCGAACGCAGTTGGGTGCAAAACGTTCATTTGCTCGTCTATAGACACGTTGTCTACCGTCACGTCGTTGAAGAAGAAAACGAGACTCGTCACTAAACCAGACTCTTCTCCAGTTTCTTAGGGTCCATCTCCTTACGTTAGTACACCACCTGAGACGTTGGCGGCGATGTTGGCGTATCAAGACGGGCCCAACAACTGGTCTTCTTGCACGTAAATTTGCTCTCATGTAAACGGTTCCTGATGGTTTGGGGCCGATACTCTCCTCAAACCTGGCACCTGTGTTGCAGTGATGGTGGGTGTGGCATGCCGATTACGTAGGTGGCTGAGTCGAATAAAGCTGATCCTGAGCCGGTGTGGTGATCCTAGGTCTACCGCTCCTGGGACGATCTTCAATTGCATGGAACTGTGTGTAACGATTCCAAAGTCGTGAGATTGTTGTTTTGTGTACGTTTAGATGACGGGCAACTGTTCCAAAGCTTTCCCCGGCCTCAATGCGACCAATGGCAATATTTCGATTTGCTGTACTCAAACGGGGCATTTTGAACTTGATTTGCAGAGCAAATTATGAGAGAAAATTACAAACTACGCGTGCTTTTAAACCCTCTACATGAACTGTGTTTTCAACGATTTGCACGTGCAACAGGCTTTTAGCATTTTGTACATGACAATTTCGCACTTTCTCAAATAACACGGATACAAAGGTCATCATGTGTGACAATGGTTCCGTTTGGGAGCTTATACTGATCAGATGGGAACGTATTAACAGTATTTTGAAGAAAATTCTAATTTACATTCACCATCTTTATTCTAGAAATGATGTCAGATATTTAGATAGGGGTTGCGTTTCTTTTTTGAGAGAGTGTATATGAGAGAAATGGGGTGTTCTCTTTTTGCCTGCACATATTGTTAAGGGATTAAAATTACTGGACCGTACTAATCCTTACAACAATTGGAATTAAAGCTATAGTCGGGAGCAGAAATGCAAGTATGCCAGCACCTGCAGGTAAACAGTAAAGTTTATCACATTTTGTTTAATGCATATGGCAATATACGAATATGAGTCATTTGAAAGTAGGGTGACATTTTTAATTTTTTCTCATATTGCACGTAACATCATATGCATACACAATATTGCATATATACAAATATACGAAAATGAATTATCTGACAAATATGATGAATGTTTAATCAGCAATTTACATTTAATATACAAATATGAGTCTTATGAAAATATGGTGACATAAATGTCACACCAGAAATAAATATTTATGTGCCTTGGGCATTATACGTAAATACATATAATTGTATAGTTTGTTTCATACGACAATAACCACACTCACAATCCCACCTGATAAGAAACGGCAACACCATAAACAGGTGGTGAGATTGTACCAGTTAAGACTCTAAACTTGTAAACATTGCATTCTTGACTCTTGCCACCCAAGGAATTGGGAACAAAGTGAACATGTGCCTATGCCATTCTAGAATGACTTCTGGTAAACTAAATTGCTGTTTTATAACCCCCATTTCTCATGTCATATTTGATTACTTTTAATGACTTGGTTGACCAAACATTATGAACTGTGTTCAGAGTGGTCGATTAGTGAGCATTGTGGTGAGTGGGTAGTGACTCCACTTACATGAACAGACTATAATTTTGCAGGCACTGGACTGTTAATCCTAATTCGTTTATAGCCAATTAAAGTGCAGGCAAATGAGAATACACCGAGAAAAAGAGAGGGAGATGTAGTCGTTAGTTTATTAATATATGAGTATAACTTTTTTTGCCTATTCGTATTGTATTCGAAATACAACAGCAGCAGATTCAGTGCTAAAAGCTTAACATACGCAAAACGTAAGGTTTAACGAACTGAGGAAGGGACAAAGATACTCCTTTTTCAGGTGTTCAGCATCCTCGATAATCTCCAGGGTATACGTTACGATCACTTTCCACTATACCCTCGTCTTGGCCCGATGATTTTATTACCTCCCTTGGCTGGCTTTTTATTCAATCAGGTGTCTACTCACTTTCCCTTCTTAAATTATCTAACCGTTTAATTTTGGCAACGCAATTGATGCAGAGGTACTCTGAATGAGGTAGAATGAGTTCTTTAAATTATATATTTTTTGAAAGTTTCAGATCTGTCAATTTGTCTATTACTTCCTCAAAGATCTCAGTGGCACTGCGAACAAACCTCCGCGAGTGCGACTGCGACCGCTATCTTTGTTGACACTGGCAGGCTCGGAGAATGCGGAGCGAGCAAAGGGAGACAATATAATTATTGGGCCAAGCCGTGGATGCATCCAGGGTATAGTGGAGAGTGATCGTAACGTATACCCTGGAGATTATCGAGGATGGTTGTCCAAAGCCTCACAACTAAAGCTACAGAGATTGATGGATTACTTTGTCCCGTGCGCAGATCCGTGGACCTTCCCCGTCGACGTCGATGATACGAGCCATCTCCATGTACCTGTCGTGGTCAAAGTTGTCTTTTATGCCCAGCATGTGACAGTCACGAGCGAAGTAATCCCACTTGTCGACGTCAATTCCTGTTTTGTCGTTGGCGACAATCTGGTGATAAGATGTGTAACAAAATATACTAAAGTTCAAATGGTGAAATCCCCTACATTGAACGTAAATGTAAATGTCGGAGAAAATGTCCTTTCGCCCTTGTAATTTAATATTTTCACCTGCATATTTAAATACCAACAAGTAAGTCATGTAGTTGCTGTAAGCATGTGGTATAAAATATTTACCTCATAAAGGAAACATTTTCTTCTTTTTTGTTGCACAAAATCCCTTACGTGCCTCTGCAAAACAGCATTGTAAAACATGGTTTAAAAGGATAAAGCGACAAACATGTGTCAGCAATCGTGTTTTACAAAGTACATTGTAGGGTGGGTTTGATGTCCAGTTCAAAATTCAAGATAGGACAAGCCCACAAAAAGGTTCACTGACTACAAACTTAATCCTAGTTTTATCCCCTAGATGCCGAACCCAAGGCAGTGTAACAACAAGTAAGATTGCTTACGGTCTGTAAGGTCCGGGAATGGAACAGAAACATCCCACAAGGATTGTCCTTGTATTTAAACAATGTCAGCATGGTTTGTGTCATATTCTCCCACTATGTTATTGTTTTTACATTTGTCAGATAGACCGATACATAAAAATGATAACAAATGAGCATTCCTATTTCTAGCTCTCATACTGTAGGCACATTACTTAACTGTTGGTTTTCCACCTAAAATGATGTCCTGGATCAGTTCGAGACGAGATCCATCTTTGTCAAACTCGTCAAAGGCTTTCTTCACGCCCTTATTTTCTTCAAGTAAGTGTTCCAGCATCTTCACTGACGCATCCTCATGCTGAAATGATTGAAGTAAAGTAAAGTAACTGAGAATTCTTCTGTATTGTCCATGTAGATTTTTTGAACATAATTTCACAAGTGACATATTTTCCGTAATCACTCGTACCTCGCATGTTTTTCTGTTTATTACTCATAATCATATGAAAGACATGCTTCAAGAAAAAGAAAAGATACTGTTGCCGAAACTGTTAAGAATAATCTGTTTTGAATCAACCCGTGTGTGAAAAAACGCTGTCCCCTCCATCCAATCGCTTTACTAAGTTAAAATGTTGTTGTGCATTAATATATAAAGATTATACATGGTTGCAGCTTGTATTTTGTTTTTATTTTTGTCACACGACGTAGCACTGATAAAAGAGAACATGGTTACAAGAAAGGATCAACAGGTTTTTTATCAAGGCTTGTAAAACGTCAGACAGGGAAGGAAAAACACGGAAACTGTCAATTAGTTTTATTTCAAAAAGGCCCTGAGTTTAGCAAGGTCCATAGGTGTTTGTAATCATGTCGCATGCAGTAACGCTGTCTGCTACCCTTGATCACACTTAAAAGTAGATGACTGTATCCTGAACCATCTGATTTGCGTTCCGAAAAGAAAAATAATGCAAAGAATAATGTTAGGTTTACAGGGGATAATACACACCTGGAACTTAATTAAGCACCCCCTGATATATTTCATGATAGTAGAGCAACTGTTAACCATCGGTAAACATGAATGATATCTCTGTATTACAACACATCTCTAGTAGTCTAAAAAGGTGTTTCAGTTCCTTTGCACTCGCCACAACGCATCCCTTGTTCACGTGAAGCATGCAACCCACACCTTTCCCAAAATTCAGTTTCTCTGACAAGCAATTTATGGGTATAAAAGCAGACAAATTTTTACTGTCTCCATTAATGAATACTGAAATGGCGAGAAGAAGAATTTAAGAAGCACTAGGGTGGCAAATTGTCGGCATGCATGCAACCGGCATGTCCTTCAAAGCTATTGGACGACAACTGGGCTAAAGTCACTCGGTCATCAGCCGACTTGTCCGAAAACATCAGATGACAGATGTGAGAGATCGTCCAAGGCCAGGACAACCAAGGAAGACAACGGCCGGTGATGATCGCAGCCTGGCACGTCTGGTAAGGCGAGAACCTTTTGCCACAAGTTCGGTTTTGAAGCGCCTGTGGTTACCCTACAGACAATTATCCACCAGAACCGTCAAAAATCGCCTTAGGGCACTTGGTATGAGGTCCAGAAGAGTCATCAAACGTCCTGCTCTGTCTGATCTCCATAAGAGACTACGTCTGGAGTGGTGTATGGCCTGTCGGCAGTGGAACCTGAGGACATGGAGGAGGGTCCACTGGTCAGATGAGAGCAGGTTCCTCCTCCACGATACAGATGGTCGAATGAGAGTGTGGAGGCATAAAAACACTGCTTACGTGCCCAGGAATATCCACCCTACTGTTCCTTACGGTGGAGGATCGGTTATGATCTGGGGTTGTCTTTCACACGACTGTAAACTTCAAATGGTGACTGTCCGAGGAAATCATAATGGTCAGCAGTACATCCGGGATATTCTCCATCCAGTTGTCGTGCCTCACTTTGACAACCACCCGTTGGCTACTGACCCGATATTCATGGACGACAAAGCCAGGCCGCATCGTTCACGTGCTGTGACCGCAAATCTCCAGAATGAGGCTGTCATGACATTACCTTGGCCAGCAATGAGCCCCGATTTGAAGCCTTTGGAGCACATCTGGACTTTCTTGGACGCCGTGTGAGGTTGAGAGAACCCCCTCTCCAGAATCTTGCACAGCTGGAAGCTGCTTTGCATGAAGAATGGCGGCAATTGCCACTTGATCGTATCAGAAGGTTTACCAGTAGCATGAGGAGAAGGATTCAAGCTGTCATCCAAGCACGTGGGGGATACACCCGATTCTGATGCCAGACCCATCAGATGTTAGCATGTGACATTCCTTGTGCATCATTTATTTTAATAGTCAGCCATTGACAATGCTACGACCATACTTGTTCAGTGACTATTTTCATCAAATATCAATAGTGACCAAATCACATTGGTTACGCTATTAAAACAACACGAATTGGAATCATTGTCTTGTTGTTCATTTGCCAATAGATCGTATGTTTCACAATGGCTAAGGTTCCACTATCTTTGGAATAGTGAGAGAGTTACAGCAAGTTTTGTTTCTCATCTTCCAGAAAATACGGGGGGTGCTTAATTAAGTTCCAGGTGTATATGTTCCACCTTTCCTTTGGCATTTATACTTTCCTGTATACATCTGTGAAGTATATTTTTGTCAAAATTAGTTTTTATCATTGTGTTATCATATTCATTGGTAGTTGTCATTATCGATGTTATCACCGTCTGCATTCTTAGTTTGGATCAAGGGGTCGTCCTCTAGCATCGACTCTGACAAACCCGGACCTCGTGGTGTCGATCATGGCGCACATGAATATTTTTATATACTGAATATAATTGAAAACGCACCAGTCAAAATTGTCCATATTTTCATCCAGATGGATTTCAGCTTGACAATGATCAATGAATATAACTAACATGAAGTCGAAGGGCATGTCCAGTTGAACAAAATGCTTTAGGAACAAATTCCTGTCCACAGTATGACTCTTAATTCCAAAATGCATCAACATGCAGCCACGCCTTGAAAAAGCGCGAATTTCATTTTGAAATCATACTGACTGTGACATTAAAAGCAGGTGTATGAGAACCGATTCTCATTGCTTCACTAACGATTGTGAAACGAGGACAGAGATGCAGAGGTTAACACCTCACGAAAGAGAACGTGCACTAGGCATGATTCAGGTTGGCACCAGCAGCAGGGATATTGCTCGACAACTTGGACTTGGCCACTCCACCATCGTTAGGCTTCATAGCCGACAACAGTAGACAGGCAGCACCCGTGACCTGCAATGACCTTGGCAACAACGTGTTACGACGCTCCATCAGGATCGCCATATTGATCTTGTCCATATCAGTGACTGAACACTGCCGACTGCAAGGACTGCTGCGCTAGTTCAAGGTTGACGTGAGGGGTCATCAGCGCTGAATCCATGCGACGCCGTCTACACGCTACAGGGCTCCTTGCTCGACGTCCTCACGTTGGACCAATTCTGACTGACAGACACCGTAATGAGCGTACACAATGAGCTAGCAGGCATTTTCAGTAATGGTTGGCGGCCGATTACGTGTTTGGCGTAGACGTGGTGAACGTTATGCTGATGAGTGTGTGGTTCAGACAGATCTTTGGTGGTGGGAGTGTCATGGTCTGGGGTGGAATACGTTACAATCACAGGACTGCCTTCATGTCTGTCAAGGGGGAGTTAAAGCCCTTTATTGCCGTGAGCAGATTCTTCAGCATCACATCGTATCTGTCTTCAATCACCATCAAGATGTCCATACTTTTCATTTGGACAACGCACGGGCACACACAAGACTTTCCATGCAGTATCTGGCCCAGCAACACTTCCAGGTTATTCGTTGGCCAGCACAGTCGCCAGATGTATCCCCCATGGAGCACTTGTGGGACGAAATTGGTCAAAGTCTTTCGCGGCGACAACAGATGCGAAACATCCGGGAACTTGAGGCTGCACTACTGCAGAAGTGGAATGCCATCCTCAAGAACTCTATTCGGACGCTTATTGACTCAATGAGGAGACGTTGAACTGCATGAGTCAATGCAAATGGCGGTCACACGCGATATTGACTTTTCGATTTGACCGCACGTGTGTTTGATGCTTTCTGACTGTGGAACATTTCAATGAATGAGCGTCTTTTCTGTGTTGTTGTTTTTGTCAGTCGTCCATCTGTTATTATCCACTCAAAAAATATCAATTCCTTACACGTGCTTTTAATAACTTTAACTTTCATAAGTGGTGCGTTTTCAATGATGTTCAGTATATTTAATATGTTCAGAGGTTGAATCATTATATTTGATATATATAATAACTCTTATATTATAAAACAACTCTTCCTGTCAAATCTCCGACAACTTTGTGATTTGCTTTGACAGGTGTTTCGAATGGTCAGCCATGTTTTTTTTACAAAAGCAGACGCACTTTTGTTTTTTGTAATTATTGTAAACTAAAACTCTTTGATTGTTGATTGTAACGTGAAATCATGTCTTTCATGTGAAAGTTTACTCTTGTCTTTAAAAAGATATATGTAACATCGTATCCGCCCAGTCCACTTGAGTTCCAATACTGCACTCCGAAATTATCGTGTGATGAATGGGCAGCAAAAGACACGACACTAGTGGTAAGCTCACCATTTTAAATTTTTGCTCTGTTGATGTACTCCATGTAGACACTGGGTCGTATTTAGTCATCTTGTCTATCTTTCTCCAACCAGAGAGGGTGAAATGCCGTCCACACCCCTCTCTCCAAGTTTCAATGTAAATCATCTCCTCAGGATTTTCACCAAGGAGAAATATAGGAGAGTACACTGTGTGTTTCGCTGTTCCAGGAACAAGGATATCAAGTACCGGAAGGATATCAGGTGGAATCATGGTATTCATAAGAATCTGTCTTGTTAAGTTCGTAAAGAATATTCATAAAAGTACTAAATGCATATTTCAGCAGGTGAATGCGGAAGATACCCAATCTATATCTTGACACGAAAACATTCTATCTTATATTGGTTGAAACTAATTCATCTCAATGTGTCCTTACAACGATTTCATTTGGTTGAAAATACAAGTGATGTTGGAGTGAGTGAGTGAGTGAGTATGGTTTTACGCCGCTTTTAACAATATTCCAGCAATATCAAGGCGGGGACACCAGAAATGGGCTTCACACATTGTGCCCATGTGGGGATTCGAACCCGGGTCTTCGGCGTGACGAGCGGACGCTTTATCACTAGGCTACCCCACCGCCCCAGTGATGTTGGAAATATACATAACTGGGCTATGTTAATGAAAATTACACTGTTTCAACTGGGTCTTGGATATGCATGGATTGGACAGGGAGTTGGGGAGGTTAAAGCTTTTTTGTATTTGCTCCAAAAATGTAAGGATTGCTTAGTAGTACATTAAGGATAGACCAGGAATATTAAAACTGGAAATTGTTCATAGCCATATTCTCTGTTTAATCAACATATTATGTGTGAAAAGTATTTGTAAAACAGTTGCAAATGTAAGGAAATTAAGAGTATCAGTATATCGCAGTTTCGATGTGGTTATTATGATCTTATGTATATAAATAAAATATATCATGCTACTGGGACCAAAATGTGTGAAAGAGATAATAATGAAGATGAACCTCTCGTTCTTCTCATCTGTCCACAATAAGGACATCTAAGGAGCCCTTAGATGCCATCTGTGTATACGTCCTATCCCACATTTTACAAATTCTTTGCTAATGCCAACCGAAAATGTACAGCTTCTACAGAATGTAACATGCTACGTTAATACATCATGCACTGTTAAAACGCAAACAGTATCACTCACCCATTGTAACCGTTTTCACTTGTACACGGGCCTCTGGCCTACAGTTCAGAAATAATGAATCACTTTGCATGTCTTTAAAATTGCGAACCAGTGAGATTGCAGCACGTAAAATATGTGAATAAATGCCGTTGATATGTGACTGAACCAAGTGAGAGAAAAGGAGCCCCATCGTTCAGTGAAAATAGACCTTTGTTTATCTGATGAGCTTCGAGAATCGCTAACTGCACATTATCAACTCATCAAAAGGAATGAGTGAGTATAATTCTACGCCATGTTTAGCAATAGACCAGGAACATCACGGTGTGCGGTGGGGTAGCCTAGTGGTTAAAGCGTTGGCTCGTCACGCCGAAGACCCCGGGTTCGAATCCTCACATGGGTACAATGTGTTAAGCCCCTTTCTGGTGTCCCCCGCCGTGATGTTACTGGAATATTGCTAAAAGCGGCGTAAAACCAAACTCTGTCAGTCAGTCACGGTGGGGGACACCAGAAATATGCTTCACTTATCGTACCCATGAGGAAAAATCAAACCTGGTTCTTCAGCGTGACGAGCAGACGCTTTAACCATTAGGCAACCCCACTCACACACCCATAGTGGGCTATACTGGGTTAGAACGTTCCAGCAAGGACATCCTAAACATAACGTATGTATATACCTTCCAATGGCTGTCTGGTTTTATCCGAGGGATGAACATTTTGTCAAAGACGTGTGAGAACGGACCGTGTCCTGAAAGAATCAAAACACATCCACTGTACACATTGCTGGCTTATATATGCATATGAGAAAAAACCGTAACGCAACACCTATCATTTTTAAACCCTATACAACCATTTATATTAATATCATAATACTATTTGTTAATTTTATATATTTCAGTCAGTAGAAATATGAAAAACAGCTCATTGAAGCAGTCAACATGGAATATGTTCTAATATTCAAACACGACACGACTGAAATGATCGAAATCGATATGCATTGTGAATTCGAAAACAAAACTGGTAAACAAATTACCGAGATCGTGGCAAAGTCCTGCTATTTCAATGCACTTGATATCATCTTCTTCAAACTGTTCAGGATGTTTCTGTCTCAGAATCCGAGCAAATTTACTAGCCAGGTAGTAGGTTCTGTTTCAACAAGCAAAATTACATCAATATAGTATTCCCAGAAATTATTGAGAAAGTTGCTTCTGCAAATATCTAATTCATGTATATAAACTATAGACGTTTTACTTAAATGAGTATGTTGAGATATGATTCTCTTACAGTCTAACTGTCTTTTCAGTACTTTGTGAGACCTCCTTGCCCTGCAACACACGACTGAATGCGCCTAGGTAAACTACAGATCAAAGTTTGTGGGAAATCGTGATAACGTATCCAAATATTCGACCACTTCTGTCTTAATTTCCTCAATACATGTATTTCTAAGTCCTTTTTTGTTATATTCTGTTCTTAATTAGTCCCCACACATTCTCAATAGGGTTAAGATCTGGGCTGCAGCTGGGCCAGTCTAAAGCTTGAACATTTTCGTTCGACAACCACTGTTTTGTGTAGCTAGCAGTGTGTTGGGTTGTTTTCATGCTGGGAAGTCCAATTGTCTTCATATAATGTTCGGGCCATTGGAAGGAGGTGATTATTTAAGATGCCAACATATCGTTCCTTCGTCAAATTTCCAGTGAAAATACTCAACGGCGTCACTCCAAGTGATGATATCCCACCCAACATGTGAAATTCGGGCTATGTTTTGGGCATTGATAGATAGGTTTCACGGTATCTAAAGTCCAAATTTTCACACGGTTCGGAAAAAGCCAGACAGAACATTCATCAGAAAAGAAACCATTATCCCAATCCTGATTTTCGTGAGCCCTAAGCCAGTTTAAACGTGTTTCTTTTTGTGCATCTTTCATCAATGGTGAGGGAATTCCTCTCCTTTTCGCCCAGTGTAATTCTTCTCTAAATAAATAATAAAAATAAATACTAGAACCAGCTTTCTTCTCTATTCTCCTCAAATCCGCCATGTCAACACAGGAAGCCGTTTGCTATACCAGGGCAGATAAATGCAACTTGGTGTAGTATTCTTAACCCTACAAGAGTTGTCTCTCATCGTGACATATTATCATACCTTCTTGCAAAATACTTTAATTTCATTGGTCAATGACGCTTTAACAAGTTTCTAGAGTGTTACCCGCTGCTACGGTAACCGCCAAACTTTCCGCCGAGAAGATGTATCGCTAACAATCGTATGACGTCATAATATGACGTATGCACCGCCGGAGTTCGAAAACCGTTCGATTAGCTGTTTTTGAGTTCACGTCATAGACACCGTCATTGAACACTCAACTTAAACATAATTAAAGCTTACATTCAACGCAAAACACAACTTTGCAGATTCTGATACCTTTTGGTATGGACTTACAGTAACAAATTATCAAAAATGCAAATTCAACTTATAAAGTTGAAAAATAACGCGATGAAACCCCCGCGAAATCGGAGTTCAAACTTTTTACAAAAATCACCCAAACTGGGATAAAAAGTGGTTTCAACAGCTGTGCTGCGCTGATCCTTTACCTCAAAGTTTATGTTTTAATTGTGCTTTGCATAGCTAGCGGTTTCAAAAAGTTCAACGGTGCCGCCATTTTCATGCTTCGAAATGAGTTTTACTACGCGCGATTTGATTGGTTTGCCACGATTCTTGGCAATAATGGCGTACGATAGGGGTGCGAGTCGTCTTGTAGGTCACGGAAAAAGGCCAGTAGTCTAATCTTGGTTGCATACACAGACAGCAGATAGTAAATAATCTACTCGTTACATAAAAGAACCTTGTTAAGGATCTAGCTCCACTCGGCTTGTGTCAACCAATGAGGCGTTCAACATTTCAAGACGGAAAACCTTCGCTGGCGGTGAGTACTCGGAGTAGGCTTTGATGTGAGCTATTTTTCTGATGATTTGACTTTTGTTGATATTTCACAGGCGCGAGCTATTTATATGTTATGGCAGTAGATTACCGATGTAACTGTTTATATATTTTCATTTATGTAATCTACTTAGATTAAGAATCTTGTGAAAACTCGTGTACTAGTCTGCTCTCGTGATACGGTGTTTTTACAATACTCCCCAGCACCTTACCCAAGTACTCTCTCCTTTAGGTAAATCTGCCAACTCCTTCATCAACGACTCAACAGACTTCTGCAGCAAGATCCGTGAATCTCCAATACAGATCCCATCATCAGCTACGATGTTGTGGACCTATTTACTAATGTACCTAGAGAAGAAGCCCTCCAAGCCACAGAATTGATAAACTTCAACAGCCCCTCAACCGACTCCATCATCAGTCTCACCTCAGCCTGCATCAACTCCACTTACTTCACCTGGGGGGACGAGATCTATGAACAAATTCATGGACTTCCCATGGGCTCCCCTTACCCCCATCCTAACCGAAATTTACATGACGGACCTGGAAGATAAAGCACTAGATACTGCACCCTCCAAACCTACATCGCAAAGTGGATGACACCTTCGTCATCCTCCAACCTCAGCAAGATCCCACTCAGCTTCTGACCCATCTCAACAACCAACATCCCCGCATCAAGTTTACCATGGAAACCGAGCAGAACCAGCAACTACCTTTCCTTGACGTCCTTGTGTCCCGTACTTCCTGCAACCAACACTGTATATAGAAAACCTAGCCACCCATACGGATCAGTACATCCACTACAACTCTAATCATCCACCTAAAGTTAAGACCGGCATCATCTCCACATTAACCAGAAGGGCCAAGAACATCTGTTCTACTAAACTACAAGATGAAATCGAACACCTCAAGTCTTCGTAGAACTTAACCACTTTCCATCTCAAATAGTCAACAGAACCATTGCTGCAACCCTGTCACCTCCTACCAAAAGACCCAAACCAGATTACAAAATCACTTTCCCAGTTCGATACGTCATTATGTAGCATTGTCAGAATTTCTAACTGTGATATAGATATGCCTCTGTCACAGACAAAAGTCAATGTCTGTTTTATTGACACCTATGTGTCTGCCTCCCTGTCTGCTAATGACAATATGCAATACACATCACTGACCACATGCAATTTGAACTTAACACCTGTCAGGCTATACACCATAACAAAACACATTGATTTATGGCTCGTGGACCTTTGTTCCGTCTCTGTCACACATTATGTAATTACACAGACAGGCAGGTGTTATACTTGTTCACGTGACATGCTATAATATAATGTCTGTTGACAAATGAACCAGCCAATAAAAGACTTCGTTGCACTTAACTGCCCGCCCACCCTCTCCGATTGTGTTCGGTATCCCGGGTGCTTCGTTTCGAGGGAAGTAAACCCAAATACAAAATATTGCACTTTGGATTTGCGATTGTACGCTTATAATTTTGTTTATTTGTTTTTTCATAACCAGCATGTGTATACTAATTATGTCATGAATAATGATAATTGTGTTTTAATTATGTTTCATTTTCGGTTGCATCTAAGTTTTAACCATTTTCATAGCAGTTTTAAGCTTGTCAGAATATGTTTTACTGATTTTAAAAATCCAGTCGCGAGGCAGACGCCATTTTGTTTATACGTCATATAGTCGGTAGCGATCTTCCAATAACATAAAATGATATTTTGTACATTAAACATGGCGGTAAGATAAAAACGTTGTAAGCTTCTCCGTCGGGTAATACGGTCTGATGTACGCCTCTTTTTTAGCAGTGTTATCCCTCACCTACAGGCTCGGCTAACACTTCTAAAAAGAGGCAGACATCAGAACGTATTACCCTCGAGAAAAGCATACAACTTATAATGTAACACCTATTTTACAATTCTGTTATCAGTATAAGAAACACAGATTTCTCAACAATTTCTTGGAAAACTGTACATTTGGACAAAAGAATGAAACATATATCTTTGTATAGCACGCTGCACGTGGGCATCATGTCAGGAGCCCTGAACATGTGTTGATTGTAGAGTCATAGAGATGCAACGTTTGCCAATACCTTTGCAACAATATTTACCCGATGCTGTGTTCAAATCTGTTGTGTGTTGCGCCCGGAAATACAAAGTAAACTCCTCCAAGTTGCGTCAAATACCTCAACCTCTGAAACTGTGGGGTGTCTATTATCTTCAGACACAGACCCGACACTCGTATAGTCCCATGAATTGGGTCGTTGAAAATCTAAACAAAAAGGAAATTGAATGAAGTCATTCTTTTGGTTTAACATTGTATTGTTCTCTGTATCTTCACATTATTTCACGTTTCTATCTCTGCCGTCACAGGAATATATAAATAATATTAACACAGATGTGATTCAAATTTATTCACTGACATTTCCAAGAAATGGGCGGGAATAGATCTCACTTAAAAATGCTTACCTTTGACAGATCGGAATCACTTCTGTGGCAAAAAATAAACGTTCACTGATGAGCTATGTACTATATATAGTTACTAACTCATTTATTCACAGGTACAAAAGTATTGTCACAGGTCGAATTGTGAACATTGACAACATCCTACAGTAGAATAACTAAACTGTTAAAAGTTTGAAAAGGTGTGAAACGTCAAGTTTAATAGCACTTTTAAATCGATGAACCCATCCACACAGATGTTACTGTTCCATACATTATTTTTGACTGATCTCGACTGCTTTTACTCTGACACATACTTAGTAAAGTAGAGAAAATTAGGTAATTTGATATAAACAACACTGGATGAAAATATTTCAACGTCAAGAAAATTCTATTCTTCGAACAAACTGGCTAAAAATATATTCACACCATGGATAAAGAACACAGTAAAGTGATAGAACATGTATACTGGATGCACTGAGACAAGAAACATATACACATTGCGTGAATGTCAGATCAGGTGTCTACCCATCCAGCCAACCAGCATGAAAGGAATGGCGTCAACGTTGAAGCATAACATTAGTTATACCTTTCTTCACTACACATATATACATTTATAAGTGTATGTAATACTCACTCTGAGCCACCGGGGTTTCCTGAAAGTTACGAAAACAAATCCTCTAAGGTGATGTAAGCACTGGCCTTTCCTTGGATGCAACAATTTCATGTTTGATAGTTGTATATCAAACCTACAGGCTGTTTGTACTATTCAACTGACAACTAGCTAGTTCCTTCCGGCCTGTAGAATTCAACATATATTTATGTCAACTCATAAATAGACAAAATGATTCATCGTTACTGTACCCGGCATGAAGGTTGTTTAGAAACATGCGAACTTCATTACACCGCTGTGTATATCAACCAATTCTCACAAGACAACCCTTTGAACAAGAGCAAAGGCCTACGGTAGGAACTGAGTCACTCAGTGCAACGGTGTGTACATGATCCTACATGATCAGTAATGCCTCAGTGATCATCTTGTCACGTGGTAGTGGACGATCATTCTGTCATATGGTAGTGGGCGATCTTTCTGTCATGTGGTAGTGGGCGATCATTCTGTCATATGGTGGTGAGCGATCATTCTGTCATGTGGTAGTGGTCGATCACTCTGTCATGTGCTTGCCGGCGATCATTCTGACCTGATTTTGAACAACTTATCTTTTGTTGACATTATCTGCCAAACAAATCTACTAATCTAACGGCCGTGAAGAACTGGGTTAGAATTGGTCTTCAGTAGCCCATGCTTGTCGTAAGAGGCGATTAACGGGATCGAGTGGTCAGGCTCGCTGACATGGTTGACACATGTCATCGTATCCCAATTTCGTAGATCGATGCCTATGTTGTTGATCAGTGGATTGTCTAATCAAGAATCGATTATTTGCAGACCGCCGCCATATAGCTTGAATATTGCTGAGTGTGGCGTAAAACTAAACTCCACTGATTCCGACTGTATCTTATACATGTCTTCATGAATCTCGATCAAATGGGATACTACCAAGAGCTCGTGACTATGTAATCGTATTATACCTCACACATGGCTCCCGTCACAAACACATGCAACGAACAAGAGATCAGACGTTCGATATCATTGTTCACATTCATACTTGGGCTTGGACTCAGTTCCAGATGTGGACTTACCAGACTGCCGATGTCTTGTCCTGGAAGCCTCTGAGACGTCTGCCTTCCTTTTGCCTTTTGTCTCCTGTCGGGGCTTAGACATGACTGTGATACCTGAATGTACACTGAGAATATTGTAATTTTCAGCATTACCTTTGGGTGATATACGCTGTTTTATGTACAGTTTGGGCCATTATTATTTCTTGTCTATATAAATGATCTTGTTGAAAATATATATTGCAATATAAGACTCTTTGCTGATGACACTTCACTCTATGTTATAATAGAAGATCCTACTGAAGACGCTATGCGCCTCAATAAAGATTTGGAAATGATTTCTCAATGGACGATACGGTGGCAAGTTAAATTCAATCCTTCGAAGATTGAAAGTACACAGTTTAGTAAAAGACGTTCCATAGAGACTAGTCCAAGATTATTAATGCAAAATATTCCTATGAATGAAGTTTCCGAGCACAAAATCATGTAGGCCCCTAGTTTCAAAAGACGCAAATTGGACTGCACAGATACATTCTCTATTTGATAAAATTTCACCAATGATAAATTGTTTAAGGAGTTACAAATATCGATTATCAAGAAAAACACTTCGTTATGTATAAATCCTTAATTCTGCCATTATTTGATTATTGTAGTTGTATATGGGATAGTTGTACAGTTAACAAAGCATCAATGCTTGCAAAAGCACAGCTCGATGCACTTAGAGCAATATGTGGAGCTACAAGGGGAACAGGTCTTAATTATATTCAGAAACAGAGGGGAAGTAGAGAAGCGCATTCAGAAATTAACTCTATCCATAAAATCACATAACAAAACACCAGATTTAAACAGTTTCGTGGCAGTTTCAGTTCAAAGAGATCCCTACAAAACGCATTTTACCCAGCACTACTGAAGAATTCTTTAACTCAAACTTACACAATCACCAAGTGAATTCACGAATGAGATTACACCATATTGCAATACTTTATTCGGGTTTGATATCTTTATTCATTCAAGTCAAAGGCCACAGGCCCATAGGACGTACATTAACCGCATATACACATCTTGTTATACCTCAATATATAAACGATAAACAAATTTCACTAGGTAGTATTATAGTAATACGCAATGCATGATAATAACCTTATTAGTGTACCGATGGGTATGTTTAAATGCTAGAAATACATACATACTTAATTAAATTTAACAATGTTTGAGAAAGAGTGTCCTATAGCCGAAGTCCTGCATGAGCTAGGTGTATCCAAATCCATATTCAAATAAAATCTGTTTAACTTTTGAAGTCCATGATGTACGATTTACACTGACGTGTCCAATCCGTATAACATCATATAGGTCTGTTTTGGGAGTCGGCAATTTTCCATCAAAAGAAGTCTGGTCCAGTATGTGATCAACTTCATTACATGTGTGACGAAAATAGTATTTCTTCCACAGTCTCCAAGAACGGCAGCATTTCATGCATTTTTAGGTACATTTATACTTTTCTGGAAATATTTCAACAGAACTTCTTCTATGCGCTGAACATGTTGAAAATCCCAGATATCAGCTCCGTATGTCAAGATTGGTAAAACCATTCTGTCGAATGCAGCTACATTGATCAGCAGTCCACCACACATACACATATCATGTAGTTTGTAAATTACCTGACACACTTTCTCGGCTTGTTGAGCTAAAGATGTTGTTGCTCGAGTCCGTACGGCTTTGGGTGTAAAGATCAGTCCGAGAAATTTATAGTACGGCACGACCTTAATCTGCGATCCTTTATATAACTCACATTTCGTAGTTGCGCAGGTATCCTCCGTTTCGAAAACTACAATGTGCGATTTATTTTGGTTTAGAGCGAGACCCCATTTGTCGCAAAGGTACTAGGTCTAGTTCGTAGACATTGGAAGCATGTGCCCTTCACCTGGGAACAATATTTCCAATGCCTCGGCCGATTGACTGAATTTTGAACCAAGTGTAGAAAATCACTTAAGCCAAGTGTAGAAAATCACTTGAGCCAAGGGTTATATTTTCACGTGCCCGACTTTACCTCCATGTTTTATTTTAATAGTATTATTAGTTCTTTGTTTCGTGTTCTTATTGTTTATTTTACGTTTAACCTTCTTTGTATTAATGCTTTTTAGCTTTAAATTTATGTTATTGCGGATTGGGTTAGTGACTTAGCTTAACAGGGAAGGCTGTATGCATTTAGTTTTAATTTTATGTTATTTCGGTTTTGAGTTAGCGTTTTAGATTAGAGAGAGAAGGGCTTACTGCCTTTTCACGTTAATTTTATGTTTTATCGGTTTGGGGTTAGTGGTTAGTTTAGAGAGAATCGGTGTTAACTTGTACTTATATTTTTGCATTCCCCATTTGTATGACCAGCATGATAAGGACGAAGCATTTGTGCAACACAGTCATATACCCACATGGATAACCATAGCTCACGATTTCAATACCCAAACAATTACATAATGGACAGATAATTCAAATATGTCAGCACAAGTAAATAATACGAAACATAAAACCTGGAAGGATACAACTTTGATTTCAAAGTCTGATTGCTGTGAAGGCGCAGTCGAGTCTACGTAGGAAGGTCGTCGTGGTAGATCAGATCTCTGTGATTTCTTCAGGTACTGTTGATAATGGCAGTGGAGCTGCTACACGTGATGAACAACACATACTACACTTTACATCAACATGCATAACAAACGTCAGAAAACGTCAATGTCCGTCTAGCATGTCATGCCCTCGCGTCTACCCATCAATTGGGTGCCTCACATATATAGCTGTAGACACTACAGCAATAGACCTCTCCTTTCCCATATGCCACACCTGGTTTAAACATATTTTTATTCAAATTAAATTGAATAGGGATCGGTGAACAAGCTGTAAGCTTATATGAACACCTCTCCCTTACAAAAGCAAATAATAATTACATAGTTTGGCTGTTAGTCATGTATACGCTGTCCATAGTCCAACAGAAGAGAGGTATGTCGACATCATAGGTTGAGAGTAAACAATCATTATCTTGAGAAAAGGGCGTCAAATCTGCCTGATTTTACGATATATAAATGAACAGATTCAAGAATCTGCATATTTACAGGTGCAGTTGCATGGACGTTTCCGAATAATACTGAGTCTAATGTATATCCTTTTTGGTAAAAGTATATGTTATTTCGAGTTACAGTATATATTGGACAAGTAAAAAAAAGTGAAAACTATCCTCATTTGCTAGTCCACATGAGCATATCGGACTTTCTAAAATGTATCATTCATATTTGTGAGTACTGAGGTCACTGCAGCCGAGTCGCAGGCGGGAATGAACGATTTGAGCAAAACAGCTTCCATAGTTTAGATTGAAACATGGGTACAATGTGTGAAACCCATTTCCCCCTCCGTGATGTTGCTGGAATATTGCTAAAAGCAGCGTAAAACCAAACTCAGTCAGTCAGTCAGTCAGTAGATTGAAACATATACGAGGTGGATTAATAGTCCTCAGTCGTCTTTTAAAACTGGACAGGGACTCTAATTGAGTAAGATGTTGGGGTAAGTTGTTCCATACTTCAATAGCATCGGGTAAAAACGAGTTTTTGTAATTATTTGTTCTGGAATTAAAAGTTTGAATGTTATTACGATTTCTTAAGTTGTATTGGTTTGAATCAGATAGAGAAGGAGGGACAAGACTGGTTAGATAGCCAGGCGTTAAGTTATTTACCATTTTATAGAATAAAATTAATTTATTATTATTTCTTCTCATCCTTTAAGGCTGGATATTTGTTTCGTCATATAATTTGTTATGGCTAGTTCCGCGTACCGCTCCACATATTGTTCGCATAGCATCTAGGTTTAATTTTTCTAGAAATTCAGATTGCTCTTTAGTGCAGTTGTCCCAGATGTGACCACAATAGTCAAACAAGGGTAATATATACTGTTTATACATAATTTCAAGGGTTTTACGATTAAGACGGTATTTGTATTTCCGTAAGCACGTTATCATTGGGCTTACTGTTTCTGTGACATCGGTAATGAGTTTGCTCCAAGTGCAATAGCTCTGCAGAGTAAACCCTAAATGTTTATGACTTTCGACTTCACAGGTAACAGTATTATTCATAAAAAGTGGTAGTTTAGAACTCGGATATTTTTTTCTAGTAAAAAGTATGGATTCTGTTTTTAATGGATTAAATGAGACTTTCCATTTTTTTGCCCATGATGAAATTTTAGACAGGTCGCTGTTTAGGTGCCACGCATGCCAGACCTTAGGGAATTGCTAAGATTTGACACGGCAAATCATGCACAGTTACCGCCAAGTCGCCTCTGAGCCACTGCCGTGACTCGAACTGGTTTGCCTGCGCCAGCCATCGTTTCACCACCATCGCCTTTATTCTAAGGGTCGCCCGTTCACCCCTATGCAACACTAACATTTGTGCTTGCTTCCAGCAAAGTCGCCTTTGAGCCACCTGTCAAGATTCAATCTGTTTCAGTTCTGCTACACCATGGCCATCTGTAAATCGAGCATCTTCTGTAGAACGAATGATGAATAGCATGAGCAACGTCGCGCGCCGTTACACAAGCTGAGCACCAAGTCAACCAAGTGCTTGATCATGGTGGAGGTCGTAACTATCCTTCTATGCACTACCATCTTTCCGACCTCCGTGGACAGACGTGGAGGGCAGCGTCGCAAATTTCCGAGCCAGTGGCCAACCTGGCTCCTTCCCCCTAGTAAAGAATTGTTGTTTACAGGGTGAAATAGTCCCAAACGACGTCATCATCGAACACCTGGCTGACCTCATTTAACAGGGGGCAATGACCGCGTACCGGTGGGAATCGGATCCGGCGTCACGTCATAGCATCACACCATGACATCACGCCATTAATTTGGACCAATCAGCATAGAGCAACTATTGAACTCATTCCGGTGTGACTGGGGTGGGGGGTGCGTACCCCGTTGGAAACGGATGACACATCCAGCGTGACATCATAGCATCACACCATGACATCACGCCTATATTTTGGACCAATCAGCGTGGAGCAACTATCGAACTGACTTGACCACTGACCACAAACTAGTTTCATCCGGTTTCAATTTTAACTATAAAAACCCCTCTGAGAATGAGTTGAGGTTATCATTTTGTCCTCTTACTGTCCTCGCGTGTAGAGAAAATCTGTTATCTCAAATGTCAAAGCGTGCTCGGTTGAGGCATGGTGAATTACACTGGTAGTCTCCACACACTTCCCTCGTCTCACTCAGCCAAGGTGCAATATGATACCTCCTCAAGTTGTACTCAAAAATCGTTGGTCTAACGCTGCTAAGGCTCTAAATGAAGTCTAGATTTCCCCCCAGGTCTTCCGGGACTCCTTTTCAATTTAAATAAGTTACTATCAAAATTATATATTCAGAGACTAAACATTAGTCTAGTCTAACACACATATGTGTAAAAGAAATTATACGGGTTCAGTTCAAGGGTTTTATAACACATTTGTTAATTGCAATCAGCGTTCATTGCCACATGAAAATGGTTTGAGTATGTATTGACCATCACCAAAACAACCCAACTAAATATAATTTCAAATGTATTTCAAACTTACCGGTATTCACAAACCATATATTTGAATATCCAATCCATATTGTCATTGTATCCTGCCTTGTAATGCCAACATATGTTTGTGATTGTTTCAAATTCCATACTATCCCAGTGTATCCAATGGGGGAAATTCAAGGATGATATTGAGATGTTATACCCACATACCATATGTTTGTGATTGTATTGAATGAATCAACCATAAAAAAAACATGAAACTGATATGCACTTCCATGTAAATATAACATATGGGATTGTGTCGTGCAAAGCGCTCTCTCTCTCACAGTGCTAGCAGAGACGCGATCTGGTGACCCACATTTGCGTGTGTGGGGGCCTATGCTGTGGCGGGGATCAGGGAGGGATGAGGGGCGGGGGCACTGCGGTGGCAGGGGGGGGAAGTTTCTCTCGCCATTTAGCCTGGAGATTTCTCGCGGGTGTAAACAACCTATGTTAATATGATGATCAGCCCATGAATTACGCCCTACTCTCAAACTAAATAGTATGATTTTGTATTGAATGAATCCATCACGATAAGACAATACTTGGTGTAGTTTAAAGCCAAAACATCCATAAATAAAACGCTACATGCTCGTTAGAATCAACACTAGCTAGGGCCATAGGCGCCCGACTCTGATATATATAAGATATAAGAAAGGTGTGTCAGTAAGCGAGTCTCTGATTGGATAGCGTCTTCTATTATTCCCAGCTCTTTTAACGTGCAACTATATTATCCAATTAGAGAGTCGCTCTACTATTCTGTAGCCTGAGATTTGTTTACTTCCGGGCTTATGTCCTGACTTCGTCCGAAATGGACGGCAAAATATTGAAAGCTTTAAATGGGAATAAAATCATCAGGTTTGTGATATGCAAGGTACTTTACAGAGGTCAACTGAGTATAAATTGTGCAGTTTATTCAATGGTCAAAGCGATGGAAGCGTTCCTCAGAACGAAACCGAGCCGAGCTGAGCCGGGCCGCCATTTTGTTTCGATTTACTGACACACCTTTCTTATATCTTATATACATGTATATAGGTCATGCTTATAAATATATCAGAGTCGGGCGCCTATGGTAATTGTATAGTGTTAGCATGAAAAAGTAATCATAAATGTATGAATGACAACGCAAAGGTGTATATTATTATTATATGGGTACTTATATAACGCTATAGTCCATCCCGCATGCATGCTCAAAGCACTGGTAAATTTTCCCTTGGATGTCAATCTCAGTCATATTACCATTCTCAACTCCCCGGGGAGCATCTTGCTGCCACTAGGCGCACCAAGTTAAAGTGTTTTTCCCATCCTAACGAGGTATACATGACAAAAACAAGATAAACTGATTTCATTTTCTTTATTAGCTCCGTTTCAACCGAGTAGAACTACGGGATAGGAGCGCTTCCAAAAGTCTACTTTACATCTGTTGTGAATTGTCTTATTGCCCCTCCTCATCGTCCTGTCCTTCACTCTCTTCATCAGATGTTATGTCTGCATTATTATCTTCAGTCAAGCCTTCGACCCAAGACTTATATTGGTACAGATTGGAAAACACGTCATGATACAGATTATTTGTGTCTACTTCTTGTTTCAGTATTCCTTGTGTCTTTGGACCACACTGCATATGGTACAGATAAGTAATAAATCGGGCATACATCTCTTTAAACATGCTCCAGATGAATTTGTTCAGTTTGGCTTGAATCATGTCTTCGTTTAAACCTCTTTTCATGTACAGCTGTCGTTTCTCATCTAAAAAGTATTTATTCAGCTCACGTGTACGTGAATACATTTGTCTTATACCTTGCTCTTCGAGATCAGCCATCTTTTTTTTCCTGTTGTTTTGTGTGACATCGTTTAATTATTCATCATCATCATCATTTTCCATTTCAGGACATTGTTTATCGTGTAAATGTCTTTGTAAGTTGTGGTTATTGCTAAACACTTGACCACAATAGTCACAATCTGACAGTGTACATGGTGCCTTCGCAGGAGAGAAGTTGTCGTCTTCCTCCCAATTCCTTTTAACTTGGGGTATTCCCGGTGGACCCACTGAAGACTTTACAGGACACCAGTTTCTTCCGTGTTGTTGCAAATCATGCACGTCTTGAAACACGAGTCCACAGTCATCACAAGATGGCATGGTTGGGAGTTTTCTTCACACGTCTGCTGACGCCGAAAGTGAAACTCTGACTGAATGGTCCTAGCTTGGAGGTCTCCTTTTAAACTGAATGCATTGGGACAAAGTCGCAAATGGGGAGGTGTTTGTGGTTTTAGATCAACCAACAAGTAGCCATATGGTTTCTGGATAGCCCTTTGAAACAGCTCCATGAAGTGGTCTGTGTTACCTGGATACATTTGCCTCGCCAAAGTCATGATGGGTTGTTGATCGATAGGGTTGTTGAACAGAAGCAGATAATGGCAGTTTCTTCGTTGTGTGGGATCCTTACTGAAATACAAATTCTGGTTCAAGGCTATCACTGAGAGATTACGATGATGACTTCCTTCCGTAAACAGATCTGTAATGCGTGGATCTTTGCTGGCTGTCGACATTAAGTCGTCAAGGATAACCACATTCACCACATGGGGGTCCAGAAACTGATCCTCTTCGAGATCAGAAGGATGCCTTGATGAAAATTCCACAATAGGGTAAACAAAAGGGTTTATATATTTTCATTCCCAAACCGGATTAAACCAGTTGATCTATCCGTATGCCATTATGTCATTCTCTTTCGGTTGCTATGCACCTGATCTAAAAATACCTCTGGGACAAGTTGTTTATCCCAAGGTCAGCTCAGTACAAGGTCACTGACACCCCCTTTGAAATGGGGTCAGCCACGTGTTCGATGATGACGTCATTTGGGACTATTTCACCCTGTATACAACAAAGAATACCCCGTGAATACGTTGGAATGTTTGACTTTCGCCTGAGAGTACCATGCTTTTAAAAAAGTTAATACATACTTTATTTGAAGAGTTAGAACAACGCCGTTTTGCATGCACCTCCGCCATTGAATGGGCTTTCTGGCAATATAAGCCTTTTTTGACTTTGGAAACAAAAGTTACATAGGATTTTCTGCAGAAGTATAACAAAACATGACGATTTTTTCTAACAAATTGTGCAATATATATTTTAATGTTCAGGATAGATCAAATCTGGTGATTTTACAGTCCTAGGCGACTCAGATACCATGTCGCAGTTTCAATACGAACACCTCACTCACACAACGTATATACTGACACCCAGCCGACCGGTCCTTCCATTACCCTATCAATGACGAGCGCCAGTGAGGGTAAGAATAAATACCATCTGGCAACGTAATGATAAATGCACCACCATTTTTGCACCACGAGCCTTCCTCTCTCCACGCACAGCATGCATTGGGGAGAAGCATGACACACACAGTCAAATGGCGTCATAATACTGGGACGTGACTAGAAGTGTATACGGTATGGACATAGCACGGTGCGACAGGAAGAAATGTTGAGAGTTACAGATTAGATATCCAGTCAGTAAAGTGCTTACTGAGAGAGATCAACATAAAACAGGCGTCACTATCACCAACTGCCATATTCACTAATTGTGCCTGAATCTAGGTCGTTTTAACTATGTAGGTTTTAGCAAAGGAGTTAATAACTTTTCTGGGTTTTTTTTCAACACTTGACGATATATCCGTTATCTCACTGCATTGCAGATCGGTATCTGGGCTCACATATACTGTCCAGCCTAGTCTGTCTCACAGTCTCTGAACCATATACTTTTCCCTACAGCCTGGCCCTCCCTGCAATGATAAGCCCAAAATGAAGCAAGTCTAGATTTCCCCACTCTGGTCTCCCTGGGACTCCTTTTCAGTTTAAATGGGTTTATTTGTTACAATCAAAATTATATATATTCAGAGACTAAGCGTTAGTCTATGTCCCGCCCTACATAGGTTCAAGCTGTTCAACACTCTATCGTATATTCGTCTATCTGACATTTATTCATCTTCACAAAAGACAATCGTTTATAACTGGGAGAAACGGATAACAATGTAACTGTTCTGTGAAATACAGACTGAGGCACTTATAGACATGATGATGCTAGAGGAGTCATACATTGTAAGTCTTACCTGAAACATGTGTCGCCTGACGTGTACTGAAGGTGTAACTAAGAACACAACAGTTGTGACATGTTCGTGCTTGTCAAATATTGCATGAATCACCTACAGCAATCTGCACCACATAGCTATATGCCCGGGTATATACAGGCGACAAAATCATTTTCAGTCTCCACTGTCCAACGAAACAGATTCGATTTTGTGTAAAAAGCGCAAAAGCTGTGAACAAGAGAAATTGATTGAAAGATATCATTAATACCAAATAGTGATGAGAACAAGAAAAACACGCATGGAAGTATTGATCTAAATACGCTACAGACGAGACGGTTTGACATGTATGTTATACTTCTCCATCAGATGGATAGGTCAGTGGAGGGATTTGTCAGTTCGAATGTTACTGAACGATATCAGTTCAATGATATACCTAACTTCCCCAAACGCCTTTACCGCCACAGCAACCTCTATACTAGGATGTCTTGCTGAAGACCAATTCTAACGTAGATCCTCACGGATCACTACTACAAGTACTACTACTTCCACCACCACCACTAAGAATAATACTGTAATTGGCACGATACAGGGAAAAAGCAAGGCAAATATGCAGGCCTTCCCTATGAAATGCCACACTTGCATCCCAAAAGTGTGGAGGAACTGGTTTACTGGAAATCCAAAATGATGTCAGGACGTGTCTTCGGAAATGCAGGTAGCGCCGTGGCGTTGACAACAGAAACGTAAGGCAGGGATTACCAGTGAAGGTTGCCAGAAACTACAACATTCTGATTCCTGGACTAGTGATTTCGTCGTCATAGATATGAAGGACAGAGGTCGTCTCGTTCTTGGTCTGGGGAGCCATCTACTTCTAGAGGAAGGGGAACTGGGGTTAGTATGGCTGTGGGTGTGCGCACTATTGTGACGTCAGATATCACAATACAGGCAGAGCACTCAGCCTAAACACAGTTCCTGTAGACTTAATCTCCGCATCGACGGTTCAGTCAGAAATACAGATTTCACCAACATTGCACGTTAGCCATCACGAATGTACAGATAATGGTGTTACATGGCCACGGTTATTTGGATTTTTTCAGTGTCAGTTACAGCAGATTTTGTAAAACATAAAATGTCTTGATCAAAGAGCTTGGTCTTCATCACGTATCAAATAATGCCAAACATAAGGCCAGTATGTTAACTGGGGTGGAAACCTTCCTAAACCATTCAACGGTGATGTCAAGGTTTGGCTTGATAAACCTGAAGACATGTTCATTCCTCTTCTGATTCCAAAACTACATAAAATCCGTACAAGGAGAGATATATTGCTGGTTCCAGCAAATGTACAACCAACTCCCTCCCTGTCTCAGAGACTAACCATAATCCTTAATACTATCAAGCATGGCCTTTCTCGATATTCACAGAATTAATACGTGTGGATTCTAAAACACTCAAAGGATTTGCTGACATTTTTACAATCTCAGGAACGGACCGCGTTCCGTTCTGTCAACATTGTGTACCACTATACTTCTTGTTTATTGCATTAAGCAACGTTTTGATGTAGATTCTTACATCGGTATCAAGCTAAATGTGCTTGATAATGATGTAAGAATCTACATAGAAACGTCGCTTAATAATGTAGTAAACAAGAATTTGTCTTCCATAGAGTTGTATATTTCATATTTGAAGTTGAGTATATTTATTATGTACTGTTTGAGAGGCATCCTTGATGTTGCAAGTAATACCGGCTTGAAAACGGTATAAGTATCTCCAAGTGTTGATGAAACACAAGGTTTGAAACTCATGTAAACTTGACTTCGTCTCTGAATACACAACTACCTGGACAGGTGAGGCTCGTCACGGAATGGATGGCGGATGTCTCTCAAGACTGCACTACTCACATAGCTATGAGAACCAACTTTCACCATGTTAATATATGGCACACCCATCACGAGTCCAAAGATACTATAACAGTGTAAAATTGGCATATTTTACTTCTAGTTTTTACTAAATTTGAAAATACTCTACATTGTATATTTGACTTTATTTTACTCTAACTAACTCTACTTGCGTGCCTGGTAGCTGACATAATATCACTAATCGCCTCGGGATGCAAGCTGCCACAACTGGTCAAACGACGCTACATGCAATTAAATGTTAGGTCACTTTGCGTCCTAATCGAACTACAGGGCTTTGTCTATGTAGGGAGCCTGTAGGCTCCTGTATGGAGCTGACCATGTCAAGTATATTCTATCAAAGGAACCAGCACAAACTGTGACATTCTAACGGCATTCATAATCTTTGATTATCTAACTTTCATTACTCCGGCATCCAGCGTTAGCCTTTGACATCCAAAACTTGCGTAACGTAACCAGCATGTGATATATTCTATTATCGAAATTTCAAATTGAACATGCGCGTACGGACACGCTTTCAGATTCGGAAAGGAGGTCTGGGGTATAAATACATGGGTTGCCTCGCCACTGAGGTATTCCTGTTTTGCCTGAGATGCTGTCTGTTTGTATTTGAAAGAAAGTCACTTTTACTTGTTACATTGTAATTTGGTTAAATTTACTTGAAGTCCTTCTAACCGTGCTACTGTGAACAATGAAATATTCTTACTTTAATCTAAAGTGTTGTTAGCATTTAGCGTTCGGTCGCTATATGTTAATTCTATGAATAATCAAGAATCACAGATAACAAACCATTGCTTTCATAGGCCACCATTAGTGTATCCGACGCCTAAACTATTTCAGTTAAAATATAACGTTCGCATTAGTTAATGGGAGTCGCGGATGCTTATAGTTAATAAATGCCCAACGTGTATAACGTTTACAAAATGTTCTAAGCATCTGTACTTTTATCTGTGTCGTGTCACTTGTCATTGTTTGTAATTTCAATTGAATAGTTTTATGCAACAATATTATATTTATTTGTCTTGACCTATAATGCCGAATAACCAGTTAATTGAATATGTGTCCTTTGCCTTCATGTGTTTATATGTAATAAAGATTCCTGTTTTGCCTGAGATCCTCTCTGTTTGTATTTGAAGGCTTGGAGATCCCTGAGCTAATTCCCCGAAATAATTCTAGGTAGAAACAGTAACGCAACAAGGCTGTTTCAGTACCAAGTAAATTTGGAAGCATATCAGACGGTGGTCACTATCAGCTGACTGTACACATTCCATTGTATCCCTGCATTGTGAGACTTATGAGAGATCAGATAACAGGTAGCATGTTGGTGTGTTGACTGGTTGTGACTTCAGGTTTGTGCACGTATTGACTAAGTGAGAGACTCAGCAAAATCCGACAGGGTTAGTGGCTGATTACACGTGACATATATACTTATTGGTAACCCTTCAGATAGTTGACATTAAAAAACCGCCATTTTCACTGATGCAATTTGACCCAGTGTTGTTTCAGCTGAACATCAGTGAGTTTGAAAACATCACAATGTCTTTCCATGTAATGTGTAGATACATGACAGTATGTAGGATATGAATGCTTCCCACATAGGCTCCATAGCCACTTAAGCTGTTCACAACCTTATCCAACCTTCATAAATCGAACAATAAACCATGGCAGAAAACTATCGCGCATACGTGAGAGAAATAAGAAACTACATTCTCTCACATACGCTTCATACGAAAATACACGACTTTTTCATAGCGCCACAGTGGCTTGTACATCATTGTGAAAAACGATATATGGCCAACTGTTGAGTAAGTGTAACCCGTATAGCATACCCATGGGGCATAGGTGTTCATTGTAATACTACTTAAGAGAATGGTTCACTGTGGTATATGTACCGACTCGAGGGTAAGGGAGGTAACTCGTGTAACCCTGTGTTCACGCCTCTTGACCATGTGCGCCAACCATGCGGCACTGTATCTCAACGATATGTCTGAACTAATAATGTGAAAAGTGTTCCTTAAGTGGAATGCTACTTAAGGTAATGGTAATTTGGCAATGGCATCAATCCCAGCTAGGTCCCACGTTTATTACCAACTGCTAGAGGTGGTAGATATTATGTTTTGGGGTAATTTATGTACAGACTGAACGAGAGAAATAAAAAGAGAATGGATTTCCTGGCGCTGCCTAGACAATAGCTTCGACGTCGGATGACATTATCACAGTTAGCAATAACCACAACCACCCACCTGTACACAATGAAATTAAGGTAAATATGACATTTTACAAGTATATCAAATATAATATAACAAGGTGCGCTTGTGAATATAATCGAAGCCATGTATTGTATATTGATTGTGATGCTGTTTTTGTTTTAGGGCAAAAGAGGTGCTTACAGATATGAAGACGATTGCCAAGTCATCCCTCGAGCCAATGCCATCACTCGTCGATGAAGAGATCAACAAGATGAGAGGAGATCAAGCAGTGTCTGCAATACCAACGTTTGTGTCTCATCGAATGACACTCTACAGAGCAAGAAGATCCGTCCATCCAAAACTTCCAACAAGCAGACAAGATCTTGTCATACTACCACAAGTCCAGACAACCGAGGTTGGGGATCAGTTTCTGTTAAGGGATGATGGGATCGACAACAGGCTAATCATTTTTGCTACTGACACAAACCTAGAGTAGCTATGTGCAGCAGACATCATTTACGGCGATCGTACCTTCTACTCTAGTCCAAAGATATTCTACCAGCTTTACACCATTCATGCCATGGTCGACGGACAGATGTTCCAGTTCGTGTTTGCCTTTCTTCCAGACAAGCGTGAAGAGACTTATCGCCGACTGTTCCAGATCCTTGTTGACACCAGCAGAACCAAGTGTTTACAGCTATCACCCCAATGTATTCAGGTACGAACATTCAGATCTTTATCAAATGAAGCAAGATGCAAAGTTCTTCGTATGTTATATGCATGAAAATGCCTCAATGTCAATGTCAAAATAGTTAATTTTATTTTAACATTTTTCAGATGGACTATGAGACAGCGGCAAGAAACGCAGCAGTCTCAGTCTTCCCTGGCAATGAAAGGAATTGTTGTTTCTTCCACTTCACGCAGTGCATTTAGAGGAGAACCCGGTACCATGGCCTGCAAGAAGACTACAAAATCAATAAATATAATATCGCTTCTAGTGTATATGTTGAATGAATC